CCACTGTAAAATATAATAACAGCTTCCAATATAGATGCATAAAATCACTCATGGGAAAATATTGCCAGCCCTGAATTAATGATTGATTCACCATTATGACTAGAATATATGCAAAAAAGTTAGACATGAAAACCTCCAAACAATATTTTATTTTAATAATCAATTCCCGGAAAAGGGTTCAGAGAATCTCAGAATTATACAGCAGCTATTGATTTCTTAAAGTACATCTTTCTTTTCTACTGGGGACTATCTAGTTCCCGTAAAACGAACAGCTCCACAATTCACAAAGAAATTAAGTTAGACCTTTTTGTACAAATATTGCCCATAAAGGCAAACGTGAGAGTCCTATTCTGTGGTTCATTAATATTTGCAATACATTTTTTAAAAAAGCAAACTTCAGATGTTCAGTATGTTTGTATATTCTCTGCAATATTTGGATGTTATCTATTGTATACATAATTGTTGCTGAGATCTTTCTTTGCGGCTTAGAGGGTTTCTTAAAAAAAAAGTTGAGAAAACATTATGCAGAGCACAGGAAAGCAGATATGGAATAGGCTTCTGGCCCTCAGCTTGCATCTACGGCATTAACTGTGATTAAGCACAGACTGTTTACACTGCCCATATCTGCCTTTTTAAATTCTGTACGACTTATAATTAGTCATTAGGGATGCCTTGACATTAATTGGTGTTGCAAGCAATCAGTGACAGGGTGTGAAAGGAGTAAATGATCACGTCAAGATAGGGGGTTGCAATTAAGTTAGATCTTCTTGTGCAAATAACGTGTTTAAAGTAGACTATGAGTTTATACTTCCAAAACACCACTTGATTTATTTTTTCTTCTCTTACCCTTACTATCTATCTTACCTATGTTTCTTACCCGCCTGTCCTGAAGGCAACATGTTGCTTATTATGCCTTTATTATGCCCTTTAGTTCTGTGATCAACATCATATCACTGATCCCTCATTAAGATGACCAGTGTTTTTGTTTGAGCCCAGAAGTGACATTAATCAGGTTGGAGGATTGCAGAGCATCAAATCAAGCATGTATCCAGGCAGACTTTTTAAGCGGAACTTGCTGGATGGCGAGGAGGAACAGGAAAGCCCTTTTTTCTTTTTTCTTTATATAGCTCGGGAATACCAAGGCCAACAGAAGGACTTCTGTCCGAGTGAGATTGGGTAATTAAGCACAGATAATAATAATACAACAACACAATTACATTTGTAAAGCGCCTTTCACGTCGGGAGGACGTCCCAAGGCGCTGAACAGTCAGGGATCAGGACCTGAGTGTGGGGGGGCAGGGTGGAGATGAGGGAGGGCAGAGGGGGTAGGAGGGCAGCTGAAGGTACAGTCAAAAAGGAGGGTCTTAAGTCGTGTCTTGAAAACCCTCAAATTTATATAATTATTATAATATAATACAATATATAATATAATTATTATAATATTATATCATAATATAACAGGACATCCTCCCGACGTGAAAGGCGCTATGCAAATGTAATTTTGTTATTGTTGTATATTAATAATATTATAATTATTATTATTATAATAATCCTTGCATTTGATATAGCGCTTTCTCACGTCTTTGAGACATCTCAAAGCGCTTTGCAGAATATACTGTAAAGTGAATTGACTGTATTTTTTTTGTGGGTGAAACTCATGGACACAAACCAGGCGCACAGGTTCTATTTTTGTCATGCTGTTGAATTCCAAGTCTCTGCAAACAGATGCCAAATACATCAAACACAGTGCACCCTTGTGAGAAAGAATAAAAAAAAGAACACCAGCAATACTGTTGTTGTGACGAGTCAGGATTATTGCAACCCATCAATCAGGCCGAGTGTTATGTTTCTTTGTCGTTTAAAGGTCAAAGAGGTTCAAATGTCATTTTAGCCTTACAAATTGACAAGCGCATCGAATGTCTCGGCCTAACACACGTGGGGTTGTGTACTAATTGCGTTATGGAATTCAGTCCGCTGTCTTACTGTTAAATAGTCAACCTAGAAAGTCCCAATAAAGATCAAAGTGAAGGCCAGTCTTCAAAGACAAACCCTTTGTGCTCGTGGTATCTTGCTTTGGTGTATAGGTAGCAGCCTGTTTTAGATAAAGCACATTCTGCTTTCTAAGTTTAAGACGTCTCGAGGACGTGATAAGGCACTATATCAAACGCAAGGATTATTATTATAACCATTCAAAGAATATTTATAATGAAAGTTTGTAGCGTTCCAAACTCCACTTATAGCTCCATTTTGGGGCTACACAACACATGTGAAGGGGAGAAAAACAAAGCCCTATTAAAATGTTTTGCAAAGGACATTCAGTTAAAGCTTTGTGATTGTTTCAAAAGGGCAAGAGAGACAGAAAGAAGAAAGAAGTTGCATTTTTTACAGTGAATTATCACATGAAAATCTCTTAAAGCGCTTGACAGCAGTAGACCAGCTACTTGCCTCACCAACGATGCTTGGAAATGCAGACTCTCATGGTGGGGGGTGGGGGGGTGGGGGGTGGGAGAAGAGGAGGTGTTGCATTCGTGATTCTTCCCACTCAGTTATTGATTATCCTGTTGGCCATCAGCTTAATGGTTTTAGCTGAAGACGCTACAGGAGACCTATTGCTGCCTCATGTTGGTAAACTGCAGGGTTGTTAGTGCTTAAGTTCCAACAGAATCCCAATGTGCACCCCAGGCTCCTGGCAACCTGCTTATATGTATGTATTCTCCATCGTAGGCGAGTTCGGTGTGCTATCCTGAAAAGGAATTTCAACACAGAATTGACAAACAAGAAAATCTACTTTTGTGAATTCTCAGTAGTTTGAACTGGGGATTCAAGTTTGTCAAAGAATTTCAGAGAGCAGGTATCAGACACCCAACACTCAGCTGAGCACACAAATAATTAAAGGGTAAAAGTACTGTTTACAGCTTCTTGAAATAGTACAGGAGTTTTGATTTGATAATGCAATATATTGTTCTAATAGTATTTTTAATTTTTATTGTAAGTTAATTAGAACTTGTTTTAGTCCATAAGCGTTTCTTCCCTGGGTGTTAATTTCTGTAATTTGGTGAGAATTTTGTAGCACAAAGTGAGACCAAATTATTTTTGCTAAGAGTTAACTCTCTAGCTACAGACACAGTACTGGATGTTAAATATAAACCCGGTTCATACCGTTGCAGGGGATAATGATTCAGCCTGTGGGAACTGTTTCTGGTAAATAATAATAATGATCCTTACATTTAATATAGTGCCTTTCACATCAGGAGGACATCTCAAATGCTTCACAGGATACTACTATAAAGTATAGTGACTGAGGATGATGGTGGGTTCAGTGCCCCCGGCTGATGAATAATATTGTTTACTTGCAAGTTCACAGTCACTACGCTTTACTAGTTACAATCCTCTTGGGTGCGGGGAGGTAAGATTGGCTCCAAGATGACATGTTTGGCACTGGAATGTTGGAATTGAGCCAACCCTCTGTGTAGGTGGGATGCATGGAAATCTTAGCTTGGTTTGGATACTCTTAAGCAGTGATGGGTTTCCGCATAAGTGATGGACACTGGGCTAACCAAACAAAAAAATAATCACACGTATTGCGGAGAGCTCGCCCGGGTGAGCCAACCACACGCACTGAAACCCACCCCCACCCCCACCAATGTAGTAATCAATCAGTAGTGTATTCAGACAACAACATGCCAAGTGACTGCCAGGATGGTGGAAGGTGAACTAGATGGACCTTGGTCTTCTTTTGCCTAGCAAATTCTCATGTTCAGTAATGATTTGGTCACTTCAATCCAGGACTGTTTGTGAGGCATTGCTGTGTGCAATTGGCTGCCGCGTTTCGCCCACGGAAATATTTGAAGTCAATTCACTTTACAGAAGTAATAATAATAATACTAGTCCTCGGATTGCATACAGAGCATTATCCTGTCTTCGAGACATCTCAAAGCACTTCAGATAATATACTGTAAAGTGAATTGACTGTATATTTGTGGGCAAAACAAAGTTGATAATAATTAGTTGAAACAAAATTGAAGTGACCAATGTATTATTGCTTTTTTTTTCCCTGGAGGGATTATTTTAGAATATATATATCCCGTAAAGTGAATCGACGGTTATATATTTTGCGAAGCACCTTGGGAACGTCTCGATGACATGATAGGGCTCTGTATCAAATGGCAGGATTACTATTATGATGATGATGATTATTATTATGATTATTATTGCGATTATTATGATGATGATCACGAGTATTATTATGATGATGCCGATTATTACGATGACTTTAATCATTATTAAAGTGGAGTCCTGTAGCTCAGTGGTTAGAGCACTCGCTTTGCAAGCGAGAGACCTGAGTTCAATTCCAGGCAGAGGGCGAAACCTTGGGCCAAGTTTCCTTACTCCACACAGAGCCTAATAATAATCCTCCAAAACCACAAACAATAATAAATTGGTCATTTTCAATCTACGACTGTTTGTGGGACATCGCTGTGCGCAATTGGCCGCTGCGTTCGCCCACAGATACGCAGCCGATTCACTTTGCAGTGCGTGTTCTGCGAAGCGCTTTGGGGACGTCCTCCCGGCGTGCGAAGCGCTCGATCGAATGCCAGGAGCGTTGCCGTGGCTACGACGGCGCCGATCATCACCGCGAGAACACACCGCGACCGTTTCGCCCGTAAAAATCCGCGGCCCCGTTCGCTTCACAGTCCCTATTGTGTCAAGCGCTCGGGGCGTCGCCTCGAAGGCGTGATCGGGCGCTGTATCGAATGCCAGAATTATTATTATTATTATTATTTATTATTTATGATGATGATGATGATTGATGGAGTGAGTGTGAGCAGTGCAGGGGGTGGGGGGGGGGGGGGGAGAGGTCAGAGGTGAAAAACGAGGGGGGGGGAGAGGAGGAGGAGGTGGAGGAGAGGTCACGTGTTAAACTCCCCAACATGGCGGCGCCTCGGTGATGGGGGAGAAGCGCGTCGCCTCTTCCCTCTCTCCGCCGCCGCCGCCGCCGCCTCCTCCGCCGCCGCCGCCGCTTCCCTCATGAGTGCGGCCGCAGGACGATGCACGAAGACATCAAGACCAAGAACATGTTTCTGACGCGAGCGCTCGAGAAGATCCTGACCGACAAGGAGGTGAAGAAAAGTCACCACAGCCAACTCCGCAAAGCCTGTGAGGTGGCGCTCGGTGAGTGAGTGAGTGAGTGTGTGTGTGTGTGAGTGAGTGAGTGAGTCCCTCCTCTTCTCCTCTTCCTCCTCCTTTCCCTCTCTCCCTTTAACCGTCAGCGGAGGAGAGAGAGAGAGAGAGGGAGAGTGGGGGGGAGAAGCCCCGGAGCACCGTCCCTTCACCTCTATTCTCCTCTCGCCATGGCCTGGGCCTACCCCACTCTGGGGTGTTAACGGTCAAAGGTGTGTGTGTGTGTGTATATGTATATATATATATTTATTTAAAAACACACCATCACCAAATAACCCCACCCATGAGGCGGGAGTCGAGTCCCAGGCCTCCCATCTGGTGACCGCTGGTCACAACTGTCCCCATCCCCCCCCTCTCCTCCTCCCCCTCCCCTCTCCCACTCCCTCCCCCACTCGTTTTCCACTTCACTTCCGCTTCTTTTACCATCTGTTTGCAGCGTTTTTTTATTTCTGTTGATAATACATTGATTTATATGTGGATATACGTACAATAGACACACACACACCGCCAAAGCTTTCCGCCTCCTGCTTCTCACAATCTGTTTACGGTGCGTCTTTTCTTAAGAAAAACGCGCACACACACACACACACACACACACGATAACAATCCCTCAAGAAGAATTAATAAAATAAATAATAAATTGGTCACTTCAGTCCACCGCTGCTTGTGGGGACGCTGCTGTGCGCAATTGGCGGCCGCGTTTCGCCCCACGAAATATACACAGTCAATTCACTTGACAGCATATTCTGTGAAGCGCTTTGAGACGTCTCGAAGACGTGGAAAGCGCTATATCGAATGCAAGGAATGTTATTTTATTATACATATAAAATAAACACACACACACACACACACACCACCACCAAAGGTTTCAGCTTGGTGCTGCAAAATCTGTCTGTTGTCAGGCAGAAGTGGCCGGACGAAGGGTTTGAGTTCTGACAAAGGGTCGTGGACCCGAAACCTTGACTCACTTTCCTTTCTCCATGGATGCTGCCTGACCTGCTGAGTTTTCCCAGCGACTTCTGTTTTTGTTTCAGAAGTGGCCTCCGACTCACTCTCTTTTAAAAGCTGCAGTAGGCAGAGCTGTCTATGTGTGTTCATTTGTTCTGTCTATGTCGTTTTAATTCCTTGACCTCTTGACGACAGGCAGGTTCATTTATTTTGTCAGACATTCCATGCAACAAGAGTTTAGTTTCAATACTCCCTCCTTTCCTGATCTTAAACTCTTACAAATGTATGTCAGTTAGATATACAATCTGTAGTTTTAAAATTGTAGCTTAATTCAACAAATTGGATTGATGCCAGCATTTTATTATAATTGCCTCCAGCAATTTCAAAATGCCCAATAAGTTTCTATATTGTGGGGAAATCTATGATTACCATTGTGATTGTCACTGAGAATTGTTTTAAAATTAAAGGAAACAAAAGTTTTTTTTATGAGATCATATTGCAATATCCCATTCGTAAGATGATATTTTATCCAAGTAATGACCCTTACAAAGAAGCAAGGCTATTGAAAGTGATCTGGAAAATAGTGTGTTATTAACTCAGCTGTAATTCTTTCATTAGCGTTGCTTCTGTACCTTTTCAAAGATATTTTCCGATTACTCACAGTCGAGTGAGTGTTCTGAGATGTTACCTGTGTGGAGGGCGCTGTATAAGTACAGGTTGTTGTTGTTCTTGAGTGCAGTTTGGGGGGAATGCTGCATTGTCAGAGATGGATGAGATATTAAATCCAGGTCCAGTCAGCCTGTTTAGTTGGATGTTAAAGGCAGCATGATATTATTTAAAATCAAAAGAAAGTTTCTTTCCCCTTGTACTGAGCAACAATCGTCCAGGTAAGTTGGTCAATCACTTTAATGACTAGTCGTGGGTATTTGCTGTGTGCAAAATGGTTGTCACATTGGCCTACGAATACAGTTGCTACACTGGACAACAATTACCTGTGTGTGAAGCACTTTGAGAAGTTTTGATATTACAGGCAGGGATTATTACAATGCATTTCAACGGTCTCCCGGTGGTACATGGGATCTTCAGTTAAGAGAGCAGGAAATTGGTATGACACTGGGTTATTGCCAAATAAATTGTGAAAGTTTCGGCTAGAAATTGTGCAACAGCAGCCTGAATAAACTATCCCCTTTAATTGATTCCACCAGTTTCTGAATGGAGGAAACGTGTAGCTTATACACATTCTACAAAACCGCATGACTCTGAGATAAATAATTCAGATTGTGTAAAATTGGGGACATGAAGCTACATTATGTCACCATGTGGAGTAGTCTGTCAGAGCAGTGACACTATAGTACATTCATTTGCCTTTCTCATAATTCATAACAATTTTGAAGGTAAGTGATCATCATTGTGTGTGATAGAATTATGATAATAAAATATTTAGGATCCAGGTACAAACAATTCCCAGCATTTGTCTTGTTGCAACCTAAGTTCATCCATGTACTGCACAGTGTTTTTTTGTTCAGTTGGTTGATTTCTGTGTAATATATATATATTTGAAGGCAACTGAAGTTTATGTCTTAAAATTAAGGCTTACATTAAAGACTCAATAACCCATTATTTGCTTTTCTCTGCAGAGGAAATAAAAGCTGAAATAGAAAAACAAAGGTAGGAAGTCATTTTCTTTCCCAAAAGTCAAATGTCGCAGAAATTAGGCTGTAAAGTGTATTACTATCAAACAGTGTTTTCCAGTTTGCTTCAAGGGACATTGTGTCCATTTCAAGAAATTGTTAGTGAACATTTTTTGTTGAATAATTGCAGGAAAATAGAGTTGATTGTTTGTTGCAATGACATTGCACACAATTCATTTGTTGACTTTGTATCACAATTTGTTTGTAAACAAACAAAAGCTTTACTAGACACTTATTTAAGAAGACCATGTCTATTCTGTGTATTGAATATTTATCTTTATCCTTTATCGTACAATTTTAACGTGGAGAGATTGTAGACGTACTCTAAATTGTTTGTTTATGTAATAAGTAACTGTTGAGTTTAAGCAACTACAAATTGCACTCGAGCCCCACTGTTAAGACCACTTTGATAAGTTGGTTTTAGCAGTGTTTCAGTTTATAGTACTGCAGTGAGAGTGCAAACTTTGCTTTTGGTTCTTAAGCATCCAATAGATCTCTGAAGGACTTTCAAAGGGCCACAATCTGAGCTCGAGTGGAATTTCAAAATTGATTTTAGTTTTTAAAATCTCTTGAATTTTGATGGCGAAGGGGGGAGAGGAGAGACAGAGATACATTCAACTCCCGGCTTCACATTGCTTTTAACAGTTGCAAGCAATATCCCTTTATTTCCAGAAGTATAAACGAAGATTTTTTTTTGGAAATTTTATTTTTTAGGGAACTATACATTACTCAGTGGGTTTTAAAGTTGTGAAATTTACTTGATAGCCTGTGTTCTTTTTGCAATAATTGCTTCTTCAGCAGTTTTGTTGAGGGTCTTTTTTTAAGCAATTGTAAATCATTTTCAGAATCATTTAATTTATATTTGGGCTTTTAAACAAAATTCTTGATTTTTTTGTAGAATTGGAGACAAAAATGTGGTTTCTGAAACACCAAAGGCGAACTTCATTGAGGCGGATAAGTACTTCCTTCCTTTTGAGTTGGCTTGTCAATCAAAATCACCCAGGATAATTAGCACATCGTTGGACTGCTTGCAGGTGGGTAAAATATATCACTTAAAGTGCTTTTTGTGTTGAGCAGAAGCATTTAAAGTTACAGTATCAAATCACATAACCTGACTTCATTCTTAGTTCCTCTTGGCCTCTCCAGCTCTCCATTTTAGGTTTTGCTCTTTGTTGTGTTCTGTTCATTGGCCCAGAGTGCAAGTGTTCTCAGCCCTCTGGCAGTGCTGTCCTCTGTGCAGCTGCTTGGAAATACTCAGTAGCACAACAAAATCCTGTGATTACACCTCCTGTATCGCCTTACTCATATCACCTGGCAAAGGCTAGGAACTTCTCATGTAGGGAATTGGAGCCGGGCCTGCCCACAAATGCAGAAGTTCATGTGAATAAATTATGGGCACAAACTTGCGATTTATAACTAGGTTATTATGTACACAATTGGTGTTCCAACCAAAACACTGGACTTCTGGTTAAACATACTTTGTAGAACAAAGCATGAACAAAGAAAAGTGCTGATTCCGAATAGCCACTCTACCCACTTCTCTATTAAGCAACTATTTGGTTTACCTATAGTTACAGTTGCAAGAGCATTTGGAATTTTTTCCCTCGTGGTTTACAGAGAACTCGAGATGAATTTATGTCAGAATGTGATTTGAAAATGCTGAAAGTGTTGTTAATTTTAGTGAAAACTATACTTCCCAATTTTGTTAATGTCGTTTGGTGGCATCTTGCTTTCCTGTTGGTTTTAATAGAATATGTTCTAATATGGTGTGGTACTGCTGGTATTTATTGTTACTGAAATGTGCATTGTTGTAATAATTGTTGTAATTTCTTAGAAACTAATAGCGTATGGGCACATCACGGGAAATGCTCCTGACAGCACAAAAACTGGAAAAAGGCTAATTGATAGGATAATGGAGACCATTTGTGGCTGTTTTCAAGGACCTCAGACAGATGAGGGAGTACAACTGCAGATAATTAAGGTAACTTTAAACAATATAGAAAAATGATATTAACAGTAAGCACATAATTTGGTGCTCGCGGAAGTAATATTTCAATCTTGAATTTGATTCATGGAAATAGAAAGGTACCTTTCTTATATTCATTCGCCAATCTATTTAGCAGAAGTCATTGCCATTTTTTCTAAGTGCAGTTATTTGGCAATCTTATTCATTGCCTTGAACTTTAATTCTTTTCAAATGATGTTGAAAATTCTGTGCTGTCATTTTATTTTTCTGGAAGATTCATGAAAATAACTGATTTTAAAATAATTAAAAATGTCACTGCAAATACTGTTTTAAATGAACAATGGATTAATCATTGTGGATTAAAGTTAAAAGTGCTATAAAAGTAATGGTGAGGGCAGTTAGCCAAGAGCAGTTTCCTTATCTATTCTTGGTCAGGAATGTTTTATGGCTGGATGTGGAGGAAGAAATCAATTTAAAAAAATTAAAATAAACTTGTCCTTAGCTCATGTCAAAGATTTTTTGGCAGAATTGTATAATCTGTGAAATTGTATGGTAGTTTGCAAGAAGTACTGTTACAGGTATATCAAACAAAATTCAGTCAGATTGTGGATCTTTGGATAATTAAAACAATTATAATTGCTATGTGGTAGATATTTTAATTCACTGTTAAACTATTTGTTCAACATTTTAGGCACTGCTCACTGCAGTGACTTCCACTCACATTGAAATCCACGAAGGAACAATCTTACAGACTGTTAGGACCTGCTATAATATCTACCTGGCTAGCAAAAACCTCATCAATCAGACTACAGCAAAAGCTACTCTCACACAGATGCTGAATGTCATATTTACAAAAATGGAAAGCCAAGTAGTAAGTATTAAAGATGAAGTAGAAGAGAGAATAAGATGATTGTTTCTATTTGAAAAAACATTATTGTCTAAATTTTTGTCTAAGGCATATTGTATATAAAATTTGTCTTTCATTTCAGGAGAATGCATGATCAGACCTTATCTTCATATAATTTCTTGTGTTTACAATCAAGTATTTAAGTGAATGCAATGAGACAGATTCCTTTAATGTACCATGACAAATGAAGAACCCATCCTTTTTATGAGGCCGGTTTGTTCTCTCCCCATAACCTGTTTTGGTTTGACTTACAACAGGTTCTAATGCTACTGTTTTAAATGTTTCTGTGTCCTGGAGATTGGTTAAATGTATCATGTTTTATAGATGGAGGAGGTGAAAGATCTAGAGAAAGAGAGGCAGAGACAACAACATCTACAACAGGACCATCGGTCTTCTGCGACTCACAGCGCAGTAGGATCGCCACAACTTGATCGGCAAGAAGAACAGCAAAGCATCCCAGTTTCATCAGAGACGGAAGACAATCAGTTAAATAGTGGGCCGGACAAAACCAAAGTGGAAATCACAGAGATTGTAAATGGGGCAGAATTAGACAATACAGAACACAAACACTCTTTACAGACTGAAGGTATTTATATTGATTTAATCACTCTTTATAGACCGAAGGTATATATATTAATTTGGAAAATAAAAGCCATTTAACAAATATAATGGCTACTGATTTACTTGTGAAAATTTTAACATTTGTAGACGAATAAACCCAGAGTACAGTCGCGTTAACTTACTGTAAACATGCAAACTGATTTGGTTCATGGAGTGTTGAAGAAACAATACTTTGATCATGTGGAAGATTTGAAGAGACATGGGACTGGATTATTCACTAATCCAGAGATGGTACAGATCCAATGAGATCCAAGAAAGGGGTTCTGTTTTTTCATAATTTTAGGCTGGTCTTAAACATGGTTTGTGAAGTATGGACCCAAGTTATGTTTCTACTTTTGAATATTGCCAGATGCAAGACTAGCAAACCAAATTTCTATGTTGTTTACATATTGAAATGGAAAACAATTTTAAAAAATACTTGTTTTTTTTCACTCTGCCTTCTGACTTGACAAAACACTGGTTTGAAGTACTGTTTAAAGCTTAAATTCTTTTCTTTTTTTTCTAAATGAAGGGAATGTGCCTGGAACAGATGAGCAAAATGAGAATGCAAAAGAAATAGTGGAACAAATCCTAAATGAAATGGTGCTGACTGTGATTGGAGGTAGTTAAGCTTGCTGCAACTTTGACATTTATGGATATTTACCTGGGTAATGCGGTGTGTGGCACATGCATTTGGTTCCCCTCCCACCCCACCATTAAATTACTGGTTTTAATCATGATGCTGAGCTGAGGTGCACCAACCATTCTTTCATTACTAGATATAATCTGTGTGAAAAACAAAATGACATTATTTTCATAGGCAAGGTACAGCTGTACAAGGTGATCCTTGAAACCTCCAGCTTCCAGGTGACCTGCTTTGAAACTGGCTGGAATTGAACCTGATTTCTGTGTCACATCTGCCTGTTTTTAAATGAAGCACATGGCAATAATTTAAGAAATTCATCCTGAAAGATGAAACTTGGACAAATTATAATAGTTTCAAAAATAAAATAAAAAATGAGGTGACCTTTTGAGGAATGCTGAGAAACTCTAATCGTAATTCCCAAGTAATATATTTATCTGATGCACGGAACAGTTACGAGAGATTTTAAAGTTGGGTTTTTACAATTTTTTTTTCCTCCAGTGGCTATAGAATTGAGGTTTGTACGATTGCCCTGTTTGATTGTACTTTTTTTGTTTCTTTCTTGCTTAAGAGACAAAAGAGGAAAATGCTGAAAATGGAACGACAGAACCTGCCGTAGAAATTAAAGCTGATATTGATCTCCCTAAAAACATGCAAGCCAACGGAATCCCGGAAGGGTCACTATCACTGCCTGATAATTCTTCATTAACCGATGATATGCAATCAGTATCATGTGGCGATGTCCAGGTATAGAATTGAAATGCACCAATTGCAGATGCAGATACTCTGACTTTTTAAAACTCAAAAGACATTTTAGCTTTTAAATCTTCATTTTGGGAACTCGTTGTTTAAGCTGTTCTGTTTTAATGGTGATGTGTAAAATATTTGTGTACCTAGGATGATTTACGCGCATGTGTAGTTAATTTTCTGTGAATTCAGAACACGAGGAAACTAGTATTTGGGACGACCAGGTAAGGATAATAAAGCAATACACCACAGTCATAATGAAGCAACATTGAAAGCTTTCAATAATTTCAAGCAGATTCTTATTGGACAATAATCATGGTTTGATTAACTTTTATCTGCAGGCTGGACTTCATTACCTTCCCAAAAAGGGTAGTTTGGATGTTAAGGGAGTAGGGAGAGAAAATAGAGCAGATGATGACAATGTTTCTGAGATTTGTATTTTCCCCCAAAAAATGTCTGGTCAATTTATCTTTATCCATACTGTGACCCGTTATTGTTCGAATGGTGTTTGCAAAATGTAAAGCTTCAAGCATAGGAATCTGGGAAAAGTGAGTGCCAAACTATCGATTTGCCAACTTAATCTGCCCTCGGGGTCTCCTTTCATTATTCAGTTAAGTCAGTTAACCAACTCAGTTCATAACTTTTCTCATTGGTGAAGTAGTATTTGAATTCAGACTTCATCTAAGAGGGATGAATTGCCAGATTGTAGGCTGCACTGGAGCCATTTTTTAGATAGTTTGAAATATGAAAAGTACAGGAGATTTTCAAAAAGTATTATTTTACAAAGTAACATTAACAACAACAAGATTCCATTTATAGAGCGCCTTTCACGTCAGGAGGACGTCCCAAGGCGCTGTACAGTTGGGTCAGGACCCGAGCAGGGGGTAAATGGTCAGGGTGAGGGGAGGGAAGAGAGGGAGCGAGGATTGGGTAGAGGGTCGAGAGGGGAGCTGAAGGCTCGGTCAAAGAGAAAGGTCTTGAGACCGGCCTTGAAGGAGGAAAGGGAGGAAGCGGCGAAGGCACTGGGGGATGGAGTTCCAGAGCCTCGGGGCTGAGAGGCTGAAGGCCCGGCCACCGATGGTAGGGCGGTTGGGGCGGGGGATGTGGAGCAGACCGGAGCCAGAGGAACGGAGGGTACGGGCAGGTAGGTAGGGGGATAGTAGGTCAGAGAGGTAGGAGGGAGCGAGGCCGTGAATGGCCTTGTAGGTGAGGATGAGGATCTTGAAATCGATCCTCTGGGGGATGGGGAGCCAGTAGAGGCGAGCGAGCCAAAATGCCAAAATGAGGTTTATCCACATTCCTAAAGCAGTGTAAAATAGCAGCTACAGAGCCATTGCTTAGAACCAACAAAAACAACAACAAAATTACATTTATAGAGCGCCTTTCACGTCGGGAGGACGTCACAAACCAGTGAAAATGCTGAGCATTTCTTACTAGAGAACCATTTTGACCTTGTGTGTCACTGTCCTCTAAATTCACAAGTGTTCTACAAAATACTATGCTTAGCATATTTTTCTACGCAGCACTATTCCCTCTTGTCGTGTATTCGTTTCTAAGCATTCTCACCATTGTCATGGAGTAATGCTCTGTTCATTCATCCCGTATCAATGCTTCCTTGTCATCTGGATTATGAAGTGTTTTTGACTCAGTATTGAAATGGAAAACCTCATTCTCTACCTGGCCCCAGGCAACATGTTAAAATGCTGGTCTGACTGAGGAGGGGAACTGAAAAACAAGTCAACTATAAATGAAACCACTATATTCTCCAGTAGGTGTGTTACGGTTTGCTGTTTGATGAGGCTAATTTGTGATTTTGTCTTGGTACTAGGAATCTGGTGTTGTCATACCACCTCCTATCAATGCTAAATTTTCCCATATTCTGCAGAAGGATGCTTTTTTGGTATTCCGATCACTCTGTAAGCTCTCCATGAAGCCTTTGAGTGATGGTCCTCCAGATCCAAAGTAAGTGAACGCCAAATCAGACATTGTGAAATTTTTAGCTCGTAGTTCAATCGTGAGTGGTTTGCGGAGACCTATCTAATGCATTGTATCAAACCTTGACAAATCCTTTGAAGTTGTTTGACTAATTCATATGTTGCTAAAATGTTCCAGAATAGATTTCCAGGAGTGTGTAATATAGGCAACAGTAGCCCCAATGTTGGCACCAAGCGAACTCCATACCAGTGATCATGGATTGAGCTAAAACATTTACAGTGATGCATAATTTGAGAGTTGATAGGAACCTGTATAATTTTAGAAAATGCTAAATTAGTCTGTAAAACATGCACTTCTCTTTATGTGGGGCAGCGATATGTTGTAATAATTATATCAACTGCTTTGTGTTCCAGATCCCATGAGCTGCGGTCAAAGATCGTTTCTCTACAGCTGCTCTTGTCAGTTCTGCAAAGTGCTGGTCCCATCTTCAAAACCAATGAAATGTTTATCAATGCAATTAAGCAGTACCTTTGTGTAGCATTGTCCAAAAATGGTGTCTCAAGTGTGCCAGATGTGTTTGAGCTTTCACTTGCTATTTTTCTTACACTTCTCTCACACTTCAAGATTCACTTAAAGATGCAAATTGAGGTATGATTTTCTATCTTTTAAGCTGTATGTGAACAAATGGCTATCATGGACATGTACAATGCTTATTGTAAATCTCAATCTAGGCTCCAAATACAGTAAGCTATTAATCTAAATTATATATTTCTAATTATTGTAAGCACTGTTAGTACAACCAAAAGAATTAGAGTTCTAAGTTTTAAAAGGTTCTGAATCTATGCAGCACAGTGTTTAGATATGGATTTGCATCCACATTTCTTCACACAGAACGATCTTACTTTAAGTGAAAGGCTATGGAGAGAAATCAAACAGAGTTCAGTATAATCGTGCAGTAGATGCTGTAGCATTACTGCTGTAATGTCGCTTGAATAACTAGTAAATACTTGGCTTTGACATAATACGGAAAACTATAGATCTCAGTTATGTTAAATAAAATGTTTTTGAATACAATCAATTAATTTTTGGTTTTAGAATGTTAAGTGTAATTTACATTTTAACAGGTTTTCTTCAAAGAGATTTTCCTGAATATTTTAGAGACATCTACAAGTTCCTTTGAGCACAAGTGGATGGTCATTCAGACTCTGACCAGGATTTGTGCAGGTATTGTCCCATTATAATGTGATTCACCACTTAGAGTAAGTAGTGTTTTATGACTAAATTGTTGACATCAACTTATGTTCTACTTTTCTATCTATTGTGGCATCCAAATAGGGATACACTCCTGACTTTGCAATTCCATTTGAAATCTGCAAAGATCCAATCATTTCTAAAATATTAGGTATGTGGGCATTACCCTTTCTGCCTACATAATGGGATTTAAAAAAAAAAGTTTGTGGAATATTTACTTGAACTGTATCCACAAATCAACCACAAATGACTTGGGAAAAGAACAAAAAGGAAGCAAGCAGGAAACTTCCTCTGTGACTGCATGCAGTCTTTCAAGCTCTTAAGTAGCTATCATAACATGTAACAAAAGCTTTATTTTGAAAGAGATATTAATTCTGTTTGTTGAATTCTTATATGCATTTCAGATGCTCAGTGTGTAGTGGATATTTATGTGAATTATGACTGTGATTTAAATGCTGCAAATATATTTGAAAGACTTGTGAACGACCTGTCGAAAATTGCCCAAGGACGGAGTGGTCAGGAATTGGGAATGACTCCTCTGCAGGTAATTGAGGCTTGTAAATTATCAAGAGTACAGTGTTGAGAATGTACTATATTGACAACTTATTTTCATGAAGCAGAGGTTATAGTTTAAAGTGCAAAATTGCCTGACACATGAACTCTGGGCTCAGTTTCTCTGCCTCATTCTCTTTTCCACAAAAGTTTTTGAGAGCATTATTTGATATTGACACATTTAAAAATAAACTATCAGATTTCATTCTAAATTTGATGGCTCTTTCAGAGAGCTTGCAGGCACAGTAAGATGAATGGCCTCTTTCTATGCTGAAAAATTCTTCGGAAAGCCGACTTTATCTTATTACTTTAATATATTCTCTCCTAAATATCTACATTTATCTTTGTTAGGAATGAAACTGAGTACGTTTTCAACAAATTGTGTAATAATAATAATCCTTGCATTTGATATAGCGCTTTTCACGTCTTCTTGACGTCCCAAAGAGCTTCACAGAATATACTGTAAAGTGAATTGACTGTATATTTGTGGGCGAACGCGGCAGCCAATTGCGCACAGCAATGTCCCACAAACAGTCGTAGATTGAAAATGACCAATTTATTATTATTTTGGTTTTGGAGGGATTATTATTAGGCGTGTGGAGTAAGGAAACTTGTCCAAGGTTTCGCCCTGCCTGGAATTGAACTCTGGTCTCTTGCTTGCAAAGCGAGTGCTCTAACCACTGAGCTACAGGACTCCATAGCTCAGTTCTATTCATGGAAATATAAATCATTTTTTTGCAAATCTGAATTAATTGCTTAATTCATTTAATCCTGGGTCTATGTTGATGAGATCTTCATTCTTCAATAACATTTCCATTTTGTTTGTTGCCTTTTTATTCTACCAAGTTATAACTCACTGAACCTTTTTTTGGTGAAGAGGAAGTCGTCCTCTCTATTTTCCTGTACCTCCGAACAGGTGTTAGCAAAGTGTTGTTATCAGATGTCTAGAAGAAGTAACCTAGCTGATCTTGTGGGGTTTTGTGAGATGCATAAGGAAGGGGATTATGTTTAAAAGAACTATTTTTTATTTAGTACTTGTATCTAGATGAGATAAAGCTGTTTTTTCTGGTTTGCAGGAGCTGAGCCTCAGGAAGAAAGGACTGGAATGTCTGGTTTCCATCCTGAAGTGCATGGTCGAATGGAGTAAAGATTTATATGTAAATCCAAATCTTCAGACCAACTTAGGTGAGATAGTAAAGTGTATGCTACTGTTTAATCATTATCTGTTATGTAAAACTGACAGACTGAATCTAACATTCATTAATTATGCTTTCAAATAATGTACATCTTTGCAGTTTTTACTCAGAACATTTACAGGTACTAAATACATCTTTAAACTTTATGTCAACTCACTCTATAATCCAACTGAACCGTTTTATTAAACAAACGTGCAGGTCAGGAGAAGCCATCTGAGCAAGATAACAGTGAAAACAAACATGTAGAAGCTGCTCGCAGACGTGGGAGTACAAATTCCATGGACTCCACTGTCTCCTCTGGAGTGGGGAGCATCAGTGTTCAGACATCTGCTGCAGATGATCCTGAACAATATGAAGTCCTGAAACAACAGAAGGATATCATAGAACAAGGAATAGATTTGTGAGTTTTAAAGTCTTGATGCACGAGATTATTTATAGTTAACAATAGGCTAAGTGTTGGATCCTTTATTTTTATGAAGCTATTTATGTTAAATCCATATATACAGTGCAATACCTTTATGCTATTAAGTATTACACATTGAGCCTGTGAGCTTAACAAAATTGCTATAAAAAAATCAACTCCAGTCATTTTTCTTACAGAATAACTTTTCCTGTGTCATTTATGGGAACTGCATACAGTTGAGATGACAAATAGTGTGATGAATACTTTTTCGAGGATTAGAATTTTTTCATAAAAGGTGCCTGGTGATTCGCAGAAGCATAAAATCTTAATTTATATGAAAAAAGGAGACTAGGTAATAAGGTTGCTAGCCTGGAAAACCGGTTTATAAAATTGCTATTTATCTAATGTAGAATGAGCTGTGAACATTTGCACTGAATGAATTCATTGAAATGTATAATTAGTTATTCTAAGATGCCGGGAATTGGGTCAATATTGCATTTAGCTTTCCATGCCACGATCTGTAGATACATCAACAACATGCACCACAAGGGTGCTTTTTGTGGTCAAAGATAATGACATTATCTTTCAATTACTCTTGCTGGTTTTTGGCTTTGCTCATTGCTTTTGGAATAACTCTTGAGATCTGCAGTGTTTATTTTGGGTAGCCAGTATTCACGATTTTACAAATAAACATTCTCGTAAATGTTGGATTTAGGTTCAACAAGAAACCAAAGAGAGGTGTACTATACTTGCAAGAACAAGGAATGTTGGGTATAACTGCTGAAGATATTGCAAAGTTTTTTCACCAAGAAGGAAGATTAGATTCAGTAAGTTTTTTTGCATTTTAATAAATTGAGAATTGCATATTCTGTGACAAAATCCCACTAACAGCATTTCACAACTTACTGAAAGTCCATCAAGTTGCCTCATTGGGTGCACATTTCCTAACATTCTTTCGTTTTCCAACAATAAATAGCATTTATTGCATTTTGCTTCAATCTTTCAATTGCGATCCTTCAATCGTAAAATGATGTTCTGACGTCTTGGGACGTCCTCCCGACGTGAAAGGCGCTCAATAAATGGAATCTTGTTGTTGTTGTCCACCAATTCAGTTTTGCTAGGGTAAAGGCCATTGATATAACTTTCCTAAAGTTATAATATTGGCAGGTTACGAGGTTGGGATTAGAGTAAATAGTTTCAACAGCAAGTTGCTAATGCTGAATTGTCCTGCGTTTCGTATATATTCTTCCATTGACCCGTGAACATTTAACGTTTGGAGATTCTGTCCATTTCTAATGATTTCCGCATTAGACATAAGTAAAAGGTCCTAATTGTATCGTTCTACAGACTCAAGTGGGTGAGTTCCTAGGAGAGAACACCAAGTTTAATAAAGAGGTGATGTACACTTATGTAGACCAGATGGATTACTGTGAAAAGGATTTTGTGTCAGCACTTCGTATGTTTCTCGAGGGCTTTCGCCTTCCTGGAGAAGCACAGAAAATTGATCGGCTCATGGAAAAATTTGCTGCTAGATATTTGGAGTGCAATCAAAGGTAATTTTCTTTTCTTAAAAAAGTAAATAGAGCTTAAATCAATTTTTGAATGACTTTTTTTTAAAAAAGTAAGCTTTGTTGTTTTCTGCCCTTTTTTAAAGTCATGTTTTAATTTATTTTTGCAGACAAACACTATTTGCAAGTGCTGATACAGCTTATGTTCTGGCCTACTCTATCATAATGCTAACAACAGATCTTCATAGCCCCCAGGTAAGATACTCCAGAAATAAATATCATGATCTGGGTATTCAAATTTCTATATTCATATCTCTTGAAGCTTTTAAGAGATATGGATTAACTCATTTAAATTATGGGTGTGAACCAATGTGCAAATGATTTAATAGTTTGAAGTCTAAGAGAGAAAAACTTCTATATTGTCTGTCTACACACCACAAATGAATTGAATACTTTTCTCTTGTTCCCCATGCCTGGAACATCAGGAAATTCAACACACAACTCATCTTAACCACTCTTTGGGGAGTTATTTACTACTATTAAATATTGGGGAGGAAAAAGGACAGGCACCAATGTAAAATTGCTTTTACTAGAACGACTGCCATAGTTTCTGTTCAATGCCAGGGAATAGCAAATGGTGTTATTCTTAAATTATTTCTTAGTTATTGTGGACTATAGCGAAGTACATCACAATGGCAATGTGTATTGAATGTGTTGCATTACTTTTTTCTAAGTCATTTATTATGTAACGAGCAGGTAAAGAACAAAATGACTAAAGAACAGTACATTAAAATGAATCGTGGGATCAATGACAGCAAAGATCTACCAGAAGAATACCTATCAACCATATATAATGAGATTGCAGGAAAGAAAATTGCCATGAAGGAGACAAAAGAACATTCAATTACACCGAAATCCACCAAACCGAGTGAGTTAATCATGTTTACTTCAGCAGTTTCAAAAGATCTGATTAAAGAATGGGCACTCTTAATAATATATTAATAATACATAATGTGGTATCTATCTATTGATCGATCGTGCTTGCATTTTGGTAAAGCTCCAACAATTGATGTCCGAATACTTTTGGACAATCTCAGAAGGCCTGTTTATAATCTGTGTTGGGCATCAAATTGTGCTGCTGCAGATCTGTAGTCAATATAATTATAGTTGCCATGAAATACCAGTCTGGATCTATTTTGAGTTTCAAAGTTGAGATTCTTTTTATATGAAAATGTGTGCAGAATATTTTTCATCTTATTTACTGCCTGACATCTGATTTCTGATTGATCAACAGTGCTGAATGTTTTTCATGTTTCAGCAGTTGTTTTCTGTAAGAAAGTATGAAGTTTTAGCTGTTTTAATCCTGATTTTAACAGAAAGTATTCCGAATTTCTTGGTCATGTTCCTCCTGCTAACTCTTAACAACTCACAAAAATTGCTGCAGCTTCCCCTGTACTTAATGGGCAACCTTATGTGCAGCATCAGTATTAGTCTCGAGGTGCAAAATCTGGTTTTGCTGTGACTTGTAATTTCTTATAGCCACGTTTATCTGAATATAGTTAACAAAACCATCAATATTCACTTGTAGAAATACCCAACGAAAATGTAAGTATTAACAATAGATTGGTCGATCAATCCACGACTGTTTGTGGGGCACTGCTGTGCACAATTGGCTACCGCGTTTCGCCTGCAAAATATACAGTAATATACTACACTTTACATTTTTTCTGTGAAGAGCTTTGGGACGTCTCAAAGACGTGATAAAGCGCTGTATGAAATCCAAAGATTATTATTATTATTAACTTAACCACTCTTTTGACTTGTAGGCGTAGCCAGTGAGAAGCAGCGGAGACTCCTGTACAATCTAGAGATGGAGCAAATGGCAAAAACTGCCAAGGCCTTGATGGAAGCAGTGAGTCATGCACAGGCCCCATTTACCAGTGCAACGCATCTTGAGCACGTCAGACCAATGTTTAAAGTAAGTTCTTTGTGATTAAAGGCTACATATTGGGTTCGATTCCCGGCAGGGCAAAATGTTGGGCAAGTTTCCTTACTCCACACGTTTCTGTTTACCTAACAGTAAGTAGGAACCCGGTTGTTAGTCGATTGGTGGATCCCTTTTCCGATGGTAATAATTTCTCCCAACAAAAAGTAATAAATCGGTCACTTCAATCCGACTGTTTGTAGGACACTGCTGTGTGCAATTGGCTGCCATGTTTCTCCCACAAAATATAGTCAATTCACTTTGCAGTATATTCTGTGAAGCGCTTTGAGACGTCTCGAAGATGTGATAAGGCATTATATCAAATGCAAGAATTATTATTTTATTATTACATTTCACTTTACAGCTAGCATGGACACCTTTATTAGCAGCATTCAGTGTTGGCTTGCAAGACTGTGATGATCCAGAGGTGGCCTTTCTCTGTCTCGAAGGCATTCGATGCGCAATTAGGATAGCCTGCATTTTTGGTATGCAGGTATGTATTTAAATACTCAGTTTGCAGTACGCATGTGAATATTGGATTAGTTACAATTTTGTACTCTTTCCTTCCACAGACTGCTTGAAGGGATAGAGGTGATACACTAATCAGTGAATGTTTTTAATTTTAAAATAAACCAATACTTTGGTGCATTATTCTTATTATTCCTAACCCTTTTGACCTTGTGACATTTTGACTCTCCAGCTAAGATACAGAGGTGATCAGCAGGGTTTCAGAGAGAACTAAAGTTCTTCACTCTGAAGGGGAAACACCCATCTGTGCTTCCTCAAATGGCCCAGCTGCAATTTAAAACCTGTGGTGAAGAAAATCACCACCACTGATGCATACTTTACAACTCTGTGTTACAACATGCTAGTTCGTCAATATCTTGCACCGCAAGACATTTCTTTCATTTACATTATAAGCTGGTAGTTTATTTAGTTTTTAAAACCTGCTATATTTCACGTGTTTCTTCTTGTGGATTTTTCAATCTTCAGAAGAGTAATTGATACAAGAAAGTAGTTGAAATGCAACCAGTTGAAGTACTGTTACAACTGTTGTAAATTTTGACGTGTAAAGGGTAAATTTAAACTTGCATCTAATTGTACATGATTGTAAATTAATCACTTGTAGTGTGATTATTGTTGATTAGATGCCTATCGTATGTTAGGCTCCATACTGACAATTGCTCTGGCACAAAAACGTTAATTACCCCAAACACAATTCTTCAATAAAATTGGAATACTATAAATTATGAAATAAAAACACCCAAAGTAATCTTAGAATGATTAAAACATCTTGAATGTCAATATATGCCGCTTTGTGCAGTTTTTAATTTCTACTATGCAGCTTATTTTACATTAAAATAAATTCTCATGAAATACTGTTTAAAATTTCCAGATCGAACGCGATGCCTATGTTCAGGCTCTTGCCCGGTTTACCTTATTGACAGCCAGCTCTGGCATCACAGAAATGAAACAAAAGAACATAGATACTATTAAGACTCTCATCACTGTGGCTCACACTGATGGCAACTACCTCGGCAATTCCTGGCATGAGGTAATTACGAGAATTACAAAGTAAATTCAGATTTCACTTATGGCATTTTCCTTACTGATATTAGCTCGTGAGTGAAATAGCTATTCCAAAACTTGAATTTATGCTCACTTTTTTTGCACCATGTAAATTGACATATTTAGGTTTCTGCACAGTAACATTGGTGACATGGGGACTAAGATGTATCATACTTAAGCGTGCAGTAAACAAGGCCTATTTTTATTGTAAAAATCCACTGTCGTACTTCTTAGTAACATGCCCATAATCTATTGTTGCATACGAAGAAAAAAATGCTTGTTTTGGATCTTGTGTGGATGACTACAAAAACTTAAAAGAATAATCCACCGTTCTTAATTGTTAACCAGATTTGCAATCTATTCTCCCTGGTTTTCAGATCCTGAAGTGCATTAGCCAGCTGGAGCTGGCACAACTGATAGGGACTGGAGTTAAGACTAAATACATTTCAGGTTCTCTACGCTCCAAAGAAGGATTTATTGGAAGTTCTCCATCGGGAGGGGAAGAATTTCTGGGACTAGGTAAAATAGACTTCATCACTAAGGTGTTCCACTGAATTATTTACATCTAAATAATGTGGTGAATCTTTTTTTTAATTTGAGATGAAGAAATTAGGCTGTGCTAAATTCTAGAGGCAGTTCAAATATTCATGTTTTATTTAATTTTAATCAGAAAGATGAACAGCTAATCATTTTAAAGCACTTAACTTTACATTTTCTATTTCTATGAACCATAATAGAAGGACTGAATGGGTTAAGAAGTTCTGTTCAGATTATTTGAAATGATTGTATTATGATTGTATTATGATTGTATTATGAAAAAATGTTTGGTGATGTTTTTGGTATGTATTTATATCTGTCCATTAATAGTCTTAAACTCACTTTCTTGCTTTTACATTTGATATACAATATGTGTACATATTTGATACACACTATATATATGCACTATTTTTAAGATGTCTTGTTTTAGCTTAAGAGCAATACTATTGCTAATTGCCTCGTGATGAAACTTTTTATAGAAACCAAGCTATATGCAATTTTCAAAGTGTAACGTATTTTTAGCATTGAACGTATTTAGAATACATTGAAGAAATGAACCTAAGGTTTTAAAAATCCATTGTAAACAGGAAATTGTCTTTTAAATTTAGGCACAAATTCTAGGAAGTGAGAAATAGTTAAAACATTTTTAAACTGCGTTACACTAATTTGCTCATTTAGAAATTTAGATACTTGATTGTTATTCAATAATTATGATAATAATCCTTGCATTTAATACAGCACCTTATCATGTCGTTGAAACGTCTCAAAGCACTTCACAAAAAAAATGTACTGGAAAGTGGATTGAATATGGTACAGTTTTGCAATGTATTTTCTGTATTCCAGGCAATTTTGGCAGTGTGGATAAAAAACAAATAGCCAGCATTCAGGAATCTGTAGGAGAAACCAGTTCACAGAGCGTGGTTGTTGCAGTCGATAGGTAATAAAAAAAACTTCTTAAATTATTCTGATTTGGGATTTTTGAATTATTTTAAAATGTTAACATCACATTCAATTGTATTTCTAACACTTAAGCTAAGTCAGCACCATATCATTCAATAAAATTCTTTTAAATTAACATTTCACGTTTTTTTAATGTGACCTAATTACTGTCCGGTTTATTGTAGCACAAATATTTTATAACAAAGCTTGTAAAATTGTCAGTAATGTTTATATTTTATTTCAGAATATTCACTGGATCAACACGGCTCGATGGAAATGCAATTGGTATGTTTCCGATGTACAGAATGTTTGCAAAGCATTACAATATACAAAGGATTGATTAAGCTCACCGAGACACTGACCCACGTAAAGGGTGCTATATAAATGCAAGTTTTTTTNATCGTCGTTGATCAGTGAAGGTAGATTTAGCTTTCTCTTTAAAATCTCCAGTTGATTTTGTACGTTGGCTGTGTGCGGTGTCTATGGATGAACTGGGGTCGTCTCACCATCCTCGCATGTTCAGTCTTCAAAAGATCGTGGAGATTTCGTACTACAACATGGGTCGAATCAGGCTTCAGTGGTCAAGAATCTGGGAAGTAATTGGCGACCATTTCAATAAGGTACAGTGGAGTTGACTTGCTCGTTGAAAATCGTTCTTTTGACTAGGGCCCAAAATTAATTTAGTTATTTGGCTCATAATTTAGATCAGTTAAACGTTACAAATTATATCTTTTTTTATAAATGTAAAAATGAGGAGATAGCTTGATTTGATACTTTTATTTTCAAATATTGACAATTGCGCTGTGTGAAATCAGAATTATTTGTGAGCAAATGTGTCTGTGCTCTGTCTGGTACAGGTTGGATGCAATCCAAATGAGGATGTTGCCATCTTTGCTGTTGATTCTCTGAGACAGCTATCGATGAAATTCTTGGAGAAAGGGGAGTTAGCAAACTTTCGGTTCCAAAAAGATTTCTTGAGACCATTTGAACATATTATGAAAAGGAACAGGTTCGTACTGCTTTGTAATTAAACTGAGTTTGAATCAGTGGTGAGGTAATTTAACCAATGTTTTTCAACGCCAGTGTTAAAGGATTCCTCAGCTTTACAGAATGCATCTATCTCCCTTGTTACATAAACTGTTTGGACGATCTTGAGTTTTGAAAAATAAATTGTAGTTTGCAAGAGTTTAAAATATTTCACTTCCATTTTAACTCTTTTTTGTTTCCTATATTTGTTGCAAATAGGAATTGTGATAATGGCACTAAAATCACCAGACCTGTCCTTTTTAAGGTTCAGAATGATCCCATTGACAAACCATTTGAGCAGGCAGAGGATGGAGGTGAAATGCCTAAACAGTACAAGATTCAATCGAATCATTCCTCTGTAGACAGTCTTTGTAGTCTGGTATCTGAGGGAAGCAGGTAGTCTGCAATCCAAAGGATTTCCAAACCACTTTTGATAACTGATCAACCAGCCGGATTGTCAAAGGGACAAGAAAGAACAGACCTATCAATGGAGCTAGAATTCTTTCCACTCAGTTCCTGTTAATCCTGCAACCCAATGTCCCAATGTTTTGGGTGGTCCTAGCTGGACAAGTAGCAGTAAAATACCCAGTGTTTACAATGTTAAGCTGAATGATTTTACAACAATAGCAACAAGAAGATTACATTTGTATAGCGCCTTTCACGTCGGGAGGATGTTAGCTGGATAAACTCCAGCAGTACCCCCATTGGACACTCTGAGGTCCCAAGCTGCACCTACAAACAGGGTGAATTCCTCTGGGGAGACGGTGCTCACTCTAAAGCAGATAAATAAAAACAACGATTCACAATTCCTACCCACCAAATTTCTCACAATAATCCCTCAATTCCTTCTCTCCAGAAATTGTAGTAAGGTTAAGTTTTTTTTTAATTCCATCACTGCTGTCTTACTTCTGAAATCCATTCCCTTTGTTTAAAAGATGTTTCATTACTCCCGATTTTCTCATTTTTAACCTGTAGCCTCTGTTGTTATATGAAACCTCTGGGTATAGTGCATTCGATAGCATTTTTATATAGGATAACTGTATTGCATTAATTGATACATTGATCTGTTGAAGTACCGGATGAAAAGACAAATGTGTATACTCATTTACTTTTTTAGATCACCAACAATTAAGGATATGGTCATTCGGTGCATTGCTCAGATGGTAAATTCACAGGCTTCAAATATTCGCTCAGGGTGGAAGAATATCTTCTCTGTGTTCCACCAGGCTGCCTCAGACCATGATGAGACTATAGTGGAGTTGGCTTTCCAGACTACAGGGCACATTATCTGTAAGTAAGCTCATAATCAAGTATTACCTTTTAATGTATAACATGTTTGAATACCTGAAAACTTACATTGAGAAAATATATCAGAAAAATCTTTTTTTGTTTTGACATGTTCAGAGTTCAATGTTAAAAAGTATCAATTACTATTTATATAGAATTGATATGGAAAGTCTGTGTCCAAATTTTAACTGTATGAACTATGCACAGAGATGTTGTGATCTGTATTCTTGGAAGTTCCTGAAATAGGTGCTTGTTTATCTCCTAGTGGATATTTTTAAGAAGCACTTTCCCGCAGCAATTGATTCATTTCAGGACGCAGTGAAATGTTTATCTGAGTTTGCTTGCAATGCTGCATTTCCTGACACCAGTATGGAGGCTATCCGACTCACTCGGCATTGTGCAACCTATGTCTCTGAGAGACCACAAGTGAGTTGATTCTTACCATTCTACATCCGGACCCCCAGTGAGATCTATTGATAAAGCCTTTAATGTCCATACTTTTGATGCGATTGGGATGGCTTGGTGGTTGAACTGGTTTGCAAGTATCAGTTAATGAAGGAGAAAATTCATCCAGGATTTCTGTTCCTGATAACCATCTAATGGAGATGAATTTCAATGTGGAGAAATGCGAGATATTGCTTTTTGGAAGAAAGAATGAGGGGAGGCAATACAGGCTAGATAATACAATCTTAAGGGCAGTGAAGGAACAAAGAGATCTAAGGGTTCAGGTAAATGAATCCTTGAACGTGGCAGGACAGGTAGATAAAGCTGGAAAAAGGGCATATGGGATACTAGGCTTTATAAATAGGGGCATAGAGTACAAGAGTCAGGAAGTTATGATTAACCCATATAAAACACTGGTTAGGCCTCAGTTAGAATACTGTGCCCAGTTCTGGGCACCAAACCATAGGAAGGATGTTAAGGCAATTGGAAAAGGTGCAGAGGAGATTTACAAGAATGGTACCAGGAATGAGGGACCTTGATGATGAGGAAAGGCTAAAGAGACTAGGATTATTCTTAATGGAGCAGAGAAGGTTACAAGGAGACCTAATAGAGGTCTTCAAAATCATGAGGGGATTTGATAAGTTATAAAGGGAAAAACTGTTTCCACTGGTGGGTGCGTCGGTGACTTGAGGTCACAGATTTAAAATAGTATCTAAATGAAGCAAAGGGGAGGTGAGAAGAAATGTTTTTCACGCAGCGAGTTGTTCGAATCTGGAACCCATTGCCTGAAAGGGCGGTGAAGGCCGATTCGATAACAACTTTTAAAAACGCGGTGGACGGGTATTTGAGGAGGACGTGTTTGCAGGGTTATGGGGAAAGGGCTGGGGAGTGGGATTGACATTACATTGCTCTTTTCAAAGAGCCGACACAGACTCGATGGGCCGAATGGCCTCTTTTTGTGCTGTACGATTCTATGATAATATCCGTTCATCTGTACCAACAAAATTCAGATTTAATCTCACAGTTTATTGAAACTTAGCTGGTCCAGATTGGCTGCTAAGTTTCCCTACTTAACATCAGCTTTAAAGTAATTATTTTGTTAAGCGCTTTGAGATGTTTTCATGTAAAAACAATGATGTTAAAAAAATTTGATTTTAAAATGTTTTTTATTAGGCACTAAAGGAATATACAAGTGATGACATGAATGTAGCTGCTGGAGACAGAGTGTGGGTACGGGGGTGGTTTCCAATTTTATTTGAGCTTTCCTGCATTATCAATAGATGCAAATTAGATGTCCGCACAAGGTAAGAAACATTCAAATGTTCTCAGCTTCTTCATTACAGAAAAACGAAGGAGATTTCAGATGCTTTTAATAATGTCTCTCATGTGTCTTGCAGAGGACTAACTGTGATGTTTGAAATCATGAAAAGCTACGGTGACACTTTTGAGAAGCACTGGTGGCAAGATCTCTTTCGAATTATCTTTCGAATATTTGATAACATGAAACTCCCTGAACAGCAAACCGAAGTAAGGCACAAGTGGACATGGTACCGGTATTAGTAGTGTTTCTTGGTGTCATACATCTGAAAGAGGAGGTGATGGGGATTATTTAGTCAGTCAGTCAGTAAATAGGTTCTGCATGAGCTTCAATAGTTCTGTACTATCTAAAACAAAGACATCACAGTTGTCAAATTCTCTCCCCACCCCCCTAATTATCTTCTCATTCTTTTTCTTTTCCGTTCCATCTTATTTTTTCCTATACAATTCACCAACAATCTTATCTATTTCCTTGAAATAACTTTTGAAACACTTGATGAATAGAATCAAATTTGTGAGGTGGAGATTTCTTCTGAATGCATGTCACTGTTTTGGGGAATTTTCAGTTTACTTTTAAGAATTTCAGAATTTTCAGGCTCCTTTAAACAAATTGTTGTTGGTTTTAGTTTACATACCATGGAAAAGTGAGCATGTTATTCGGCCAGATTTATCAATCTCTCTTATTGTGAATCTGTAATAATGACTGGAAATTATCGCTGAAATGTATTACTTCTATCTATATTTTATCCCAAACTTACTCTTATTGTTCAGTTGACAATTGTAGTATTTCTTATTTTCTGGTTTATTTAATAAAGATCAGTAACATGCAAACTCGTTATATTGTTCCAGGAATGGAAAATATTGTATAAATTGACCTTTTGTAGCAATTTCTATAGCAAACTGAACCTGAACATTTTTTTTGACTTGGTCAAAGTATAATATTTCAATTTCCTGTGTTAGATTTTTACAGTACCTTTGTCACAGTACATCTAAATGTCATGTCTGTTTCTGCTTTACAGAAGGTTGAGTGGATGACAACTACATGTAATCATGCACTTTATGCTATTTGTGATGTTTTTACACAATTCTATGATGTTTTAAATGAAGTACTACTGGAAGACATATTTGCTCAATTACACTGGTGTGTAGAACAAGGTAAATCTGTTTATTTAATCAAAATGCTATACAGTAATTGGAAAAATTTAAAATATGAATGCATCATATAAAAATTAGAAATTAACTCCTTAAAGTTGGGCATCTGAAGTTTCCTTCAAAGAAGTGTTGACTCAAACTTTTCATCCTTTAAACCCTAATCAAAGTATTGCAATTACTGTATGTGCTGACTGAATGAGATTTTGTTTAAATAGCTGGGTAAGGATTGAAGGCAATTGGTAAACTGATGCATTGAATCCTACAAATCAATTCAATTGAAAATGAAATGAATGCAGTTGCATTATTGTGCCTTCTACTTTTTCTGCCATTATTTTTTTCTTTCTCTTGCGTTGCTTTTAAAGACAATGAACAGCTGGCCCGATCCGGAACAAATTGTTTGGAGAATGTAGTCATATTGAATGGTCAAAAGTTCAGTCCTTTAGTCTGGGATAAAACTTGTTGCTGCATGCTGAACATCTTCAAGACCACTATTCCCAATGTGTAAGTTCAAGTTACCACCAATCTACCGTAACGCAGTAAATCTTCTGTGATTTTCCAAGGACTAAAGGTTTGGCCATATTTGTTTCCAGTATTGATGTAACTAAACCCCTGTGACTTTTAGCATAAGAACTTTACTCAGTCTCTTTTCAAAGATGCATTAAATGATGGCTTTATATAAGTTGGCAGTGAATTAAACTTGAAGTCGACTTTTAAAACAAAATGATTTGTTGTTACAGCTTGTTAACATGGCGGCCAGTAAGTTTGGAAGAAGAGACTGGAGAGAAGACTTCGGTAAGTCTTCTACAGTGGAAAAGGTTTTTAAAAAAAATTGGCTTTCTAAAGAGCATGTTGTAATGTGCTGGTGTACTTTGATTTTTCATAGGACATGGATGTTGACCGTCAATCAATCTGTAGTACAGAGCGAAACCTCTCAGAAAAAGGTCAGAGTCAGTTCAGTCAGATATCAAACACGAGTGATGAGGCACGGAAGAATAGATCAAATACAAGTAAGGCTTGTGCTTTTATGAAAAGATTCCATGTTTTTTGTTTACAGTGCAGATTCTATGACAACTTTAATCCCAGAAAGGCTGATGCTCTTGAAACAATTGTGATCAACCTTACAAATTCCCAACAGGGTGTTGTAAATTAACGATAGAAAGGATAATCCCACGTTGATCACTGATTCTTTTGTTTACCAGAAATAATTGAACAGAAGCTGTTTGCTGCCCTTCTCATCAAGTGTGTTGTACAGTTGGAACTCATCCAAACAATAGACAATATAGTGTTCTTCCCTACAACGAGCAAAAAGGAGGATGCTGAAACCATGGCAGCTGCCCAGGTAAAATTGCTACTGCTTGTAAATAAATAATAATAATCTTTGCATTTGGTATAGCTCATTTCACTTCGAGAGGACATCCCAAAATGCTTCACAGAATTTACTGTGAAGTAAAGTGACTGTATTTTGTGGGTGAACCCTGCAAACTTATCTGGACTATGATGTACAGTATTATCATTGCTGTCATTGGTATAATTAGAAGAAAATTCCAGTCATATTCGGTTTATTAAAGATATTCAATGCTCATTTGGCTAGTGTTGCTATTACTCAAAAAATCCATGAAATTAATGCTTTGACTATTTTATGTGCAGAGGGATTCGATAGATGCCGAGATTCACATAGATACTGAAGATCAAGGAATGTACCGTTACATGACTTCTCAGCAACTCTTCAAGCTGTTGGATTGTCTGCTGGAGTCGCACTCCTTTGCAAAGGCTTTCAATTCAAACAATGAACAGAGGACTACCCTCTGGAGAGCAGGTGAGTTATTTAGTGAGGATAACGGGGTGAATGGTAACTCTTTCACTAGTCTGCATTTTACTCGGATTTGAATAAGTTGTACTAAACAATAGCAAGTTGGGTATTCTTTTAAAGTAGTTGATTTACTTACATTAGAGAGCAGCAATGTTTAATGTAAATTGTGTTTCAAGGAGCCATGTCACATAGAGACTTTGAATTGACCCAAATACAAGGTGCATGTGTTTTACTGCAGGGTTTAAGGGCAAATCCAAGCCTAATCTCTTGAAACAGGAAACAAGCAGCCTCGCCTGTTGTCTGCGGATACTCTTCCGTATGTACAATGATGACAATCGCCAGGATTCTTGGGACAATATACAACAACGACTACTGAAGTATGTGAATATCTTTGAAGTAGATGTGCATAATAGTGTTAGGTCAGTAGTATTCAGAGGAGCAAGCTAAGAGGCCCTCTGCTGTCAGCTTGTGCCATTACATACATAGTCGGCTATACATTGAATTAATAATAATAATAATCCTTGCATTTGATATATATTGAAATATGTATCTGGATGTTGAATCTTGCTCATTGGTATAGATACCAATAGAGTTCAGTGATTTCAGGTATGCTGTTTTTCTGTAAGCATTGAATTAAAACCCAGTATTACGTGGAGGTTCAATGATACCCCAACCTATACATCTGATGGGAAACTAATTCTAAATGTAACTCAAGGTCATTATACATAGGTTGCATTGGGATTGATACACAACTTGATTTTCACTTGAATGGTTTATAACCTCTGACCTATCAGCCCTTGTATTGGCCTTTATTTGTATAGTCTGATTATTTTCTGCAAAGTATTAACTGACATAATGCCTTGTATCTTCACATCTTGTATCAATATAATTCGTTATTTTTTATTTATCGTCCACCTGTACTGTGCAGAGCAGCTACATCCTAATGGAGAAGAAACTTTAAGAGCTTTCAAAATGTACTTTAAGGATTAAGGTGATCATTTAATATCAAAACACTTGTCATAGCCACCTTATAATTTGTTAATTAGAATTTGTTTTTTCTCCTCAGTGTTTGCAGCGAAGCTCTTGCTTACTTCATCACTCTGACTTCTGAAAGTCACCGTGAAGCTTGGACTAACCTGTTATTACTCTTCCTAACAAAGACTCTTAAAATCAGTGATGAAAAGGTATGTAACTTCTCTTTTTAATATATATTGTGTAGCTCATCAGCGAATAAAGGTAATTTTGCAGATAAATATTGTAAGCCTTTCTCAACAATATTGCTTAAACTAATTTTAAAGGTAAGCTGCCTTACCAATAAAGTGTAGTGATTTAACAACAAAAAAAATGAAAAATGTTGTTCTGACATATTAGTCAGGACTGAAAAGGGTTAATTTTGACAATTGTTTTGATTCTATTAATTTACATTGCAATTCATGTGTCTTTTGTTTTTCCCTTCAAGTTTAAAATCCATGTTTCAAAGTACTATCCATACTTGTGCGAAATGGTGCAGTTTGACCTGATTCCTGAACTGCGAGCAGTTTTGCGCAAGTTCTTTCTACGTATTGGCATAGTGTTTCAGATCTACAATTCAGAGGAGCAGCCACATGAAGATAATACATAACAAAAAGTCAAATGTCTTTCTTCATCTCTCCATGAATGAATGTCTTGGAGGTTACCCATGTAAAGTCAATGAAAATAATTAATTCTAGAGCTATTTTTGAAATATTAATCAGGGTTTCCTGAATAAGTGATCTGTACTCTTCTATATGTAAAAGGGGTCTTTGTGAGTCACACGTCCCGAATCCCACTGTAACTTACAATCCCCGTTTGTATTTTTATTTGCTTTTAAAGAATATTTGCAACGGTTTCCTTTTGCACCCGCAACCAAATTTGTTTTTCTCTTAGAAAACGAGTAAATCATTTCAGGGATTCTGGGTTTCTGTACTACGTGTCTGCACTTAAGGGAATTACACATTCTTAAACAGCATAAGTTTCAGGTAAACGTGTGGCTTGATGCTGTGTTCAGTGTAAAATGGAGTACTTAATCCCACAAAGGAGTTGATGCATTGTAAGGTTTCAGTGCTTGTAAATGGATGAGAAGTTTTAAGATGACAGATATATAGCTATAAAAACTGGAATTGGGTTGTGACACTGATGGAAAGCACACAATAGAATGTTAATTGTGAGAATGATTGTAAATGAAAATTGCAGATAACTTAAACTAATATGATCATATAAAATTGACATTTTTGAGTTCATAATTTCTGAATATACAGAGTTCAAATTTGTGAGGGAATAACGGCTTTTTTTTGTCTCATTTCTAGTTCTTGCATTGCTACAGTAGAGCCCACTTATTATCAGATGCAATTCGGCCCACAAATTATGACAAATTCGTAAATACTGCAATAAATTCAGTCTAATAAATTTCTAAGTAGAGCTGATTCGAATTCAAGATCATCATCCTCACCTTACAAGGCCATTCACGGCCTTACTCCCTCCTACCTCTCCGATCTACTATCCCCCTACCTACCTGCCCGTACCCTCCGTTCCTCTGGCTCCGGTCTGCTCCACATCCCCGCCCCAACCGCCCTACCATCGGTGGTCGGGCCTTCAGCCTCTCAGCCCCGAGGCTCTGGAACTCCATCCTCCAGTGCCTTCGCCGCTTCCTCCCTTTCCTCCTTCAAGGCCGGTCTCAAGACCTTTCTCTTTGACCGAGCCTTCAGCTCCCCTCTCGACTCTCTACCCCCTCCTCGCTCCTTCCCTTCCCCTGACCATTTCCCCCCTGCTCGGGTCCTGACCCAACTGTCCAGCGCCTTGGGACGTCCTCCCGACTTGAAAGGCGCTCCATAAATGGTATCTTGTTGTTGTTGGTTCTGAAGTTGGCGACATTAAAACACGTTAAACTTGGTCGTGCAAACAAGATGTAAGTTTTTTGGGGAAATGTAGAAAGTGGATTTTTATGTTTGTTACTGCACAGGGCTGATCTTAGATGCCCTGTCAAGGAGAGAGACAAGCAGAAATTAGGTACTTCTCTAAAGAACAGTGATCACTGGAGGTTTCACAGTTGGATCACTCTATTGCATCTCTTGAGTTCTCTGCTATGAAAGAGATTGACACGTCTTTTGTGATTTGCTTTCGGTTTTGTACAGGGAATAGTGCAAACAATGGGAAAGAAAATGAAAAAGAGGGGCTAATAATAAAGGGAGATAGAATACCTGAAAAGGGCATGGTAAATATTTTCTTGTCTCACTATACACTATTTAAAGATCTTTAATGGTTAACGTTTAGGAGGGGAGGTGAAATTCAAAGTAATTTAGTTAATTGACTTTTGTTGATCAAAACTGAGTTTCAAATATTGTGTTAAATTCATATGATTTGGAATTCTCTCTTTTAATCTTGGAAGGCAAATTACAATGATAGCAAGTTATATTGATGATGATATATATATATATTTATCATCAATATAACTTGCTATCTATATATATATATATGTTGAGGTGAATGGAAACGATGTGATCTTATTGAGATGGTAAAGTGATTTCAAAGTATGAATGAAGCCTAATCATATTTTTAACTGGCAGATTTTTAGTACACCTAAACATGAGGTTACAGTCTTGTAGTTACTTCAGACTGTTTAGGTTTTTTAAGCAAATGGGTTAAGTTTATTGGATGGGGATAATCAATTGTGGATCTGTATTTTTGCTGAAACCCATTGTGCTCTGTATTGATGTGTAATCTACACACTAAAGGATTAATAATTGTCATGCAATCACTGAAAGTTTATCAAGTCCTAAGTGTCGGTTGATTACTGGGAAATAGGTTCTGTACATTAAATTATGAGAGAATTTAAATTGTACAAAAATGACACCAATCAAACAATATTTTCATCATTATGATAATAAGTGAGCCCTGCTGTGTTTGCATATCTGAGAGCTGTCTTTCTGTGCACTTTTTTGTTCTACAAATACTGTACCAAATAAAGCAAAAATAAATAGGTTGTGTAACAGCCTCAACATCTGCATAAAATGAAGACTTAATATTAATTTTCACATTATGCACTATAAGTACCAAATAGCTCTTGTATTTGCTAATCTTCAGTCATTGCAGGTACTTGTTTGTGCCATGCGGATACTGATAATACATTTACTGATTTTTTTCATAAATTGTTGATTTAATTAGAATTTAAATATTGGTTAAAATTGCAATGGATACATTTATAATTCAGAAACAACTTTTTCCAATTTGCCAATTGAGGAAGATAATGGTAACCAATAATAATAAGTCCTAGACTACAAAGGCACTGTAAGGCATCTTACTTTATTCACCCCTGCCCCCAGGTGAAAAGCAAATGATTTTGTTTTCATGTGTTCCATGAAAAGCAATTATCTAGGAAGCTGTATGCCTGAGTGTTTACATTTGTGCTAGTAGAGTTAGCTTCCCGATGCTGACTTGGAAACAGTAGTGCAATGTATTGCTTCCATTATCCATGCGAGACTGCCTCCAGGAAGAGGTGTCATCATACTCATAAAACTTCAATTTAACCGTTGACAGTGCAAATCCTTTTATATATTAAAAAATAAAACTGCTGCATTACTTGTCCTCAACCAATATCGCTGCACACAACTTTAGAGCAAGGGGCTTGTTGGGAGCTGTTTGAAAACAGGAAACCTAGTGTTTTTAGCCCTCTATTTAGCCTGGAGGGCATAGAGGGACTGTACTGTCCCTGATTGTCTGATTTCAGCACCAGGGATTGAACCTGGGACCATCCCAGCACACCAAGAGACCAAGAGGTGCATTTACCCACAGCCATCTTTTTGACAAAATTATTTCAAGAAATCTGATTTTGAAACTCTCAATGCACGGCTAAGTATCAAACTAATCTCTCATTTACCGAACTGTAGACAAAAATGTTAGGCCGCTGGGGTTCTATACCAAATGGATGCAAGAATTGTCATAAAATGTATTCTAATAATCTGTCTTGGTTTAGTCTATATGCATATCCAAACATATGAAGTTAATACAAAAAAGTAGAATGTCTTGTTTATCCCACCAGTAAGACAGTACACTTCAGTTTAGGGAAATGCATTGTCCATTTTACAAACTAACCGAATCCTGAAACAATTGAACTGATGTGATTTTTGATTTATCCAAATTGCTCAATTCTAATCCATTTTCAATGTAATAATTGGGAAATTTCTGTGCAGGATGTTATGTTTACATATTTAAATTTGACAACATAATGGCCAATGTAAAAGTGAATTACTCATAGGAGGGTTTTATGAATGAACAATGTATTAATGTGAAGTGCATTTAAAAATACTAGTAATTTAAAAGCATTCCTTGCCACTGTGGATGTATAAATATTTTGGAGAAAGATTATATAAGAAATAACTATTGTAAAGGTTTTTTTATGTCAAAAGTATTCTGTACAATGCTGATTATCTTCTTCCAATCAGTCAATAAATCAAAAAAGGTTTTACACCTTCCGATTTGCTTTCTTTGCTTTTATCATTGGGAGTTCAGCGTTAATGTTCACTCGATGCTGGAAATTCTACCCGAACGTAAGGGCATCGCTTCCTATTTTTGAAGGGGGCCGTGGGATCCTCGACCATCTTTCCCGGACGCAGGTTGACGGAACTACGCGCTCTCAGTCCTAATTCGGGCGCTCGAACCACAAGGAGATAACCCTCGGGGACAAGTGACGTTCGGGGTGGCCCCCTCCCAGGTCCGAGGGTCGCCACTTGCCTCACCCTCCCCCCACCCCTCCCCACCGGTGCGAGGCGCGCGCCTCCCTCTCGGGTGGGGTCCGCTCCCCGCCTCGTGACCTCACCGGGTGTGTGGCCGGTGCCCGGTCTCTCGCCGGTCCTCCTGCACTGCTTTCTAGCCCCCCCCCCCCCAACACCCCTCCTCACCCTTTAGCGGGGGGTGGGGGGGGGGCAAACAGCCGGTAGAGAACAACAACAACAACTCGCATTTATACCAGCGACCGCCTCGCCCGGGGGAGGGGTCCCGGAGCGCGCGTCTGGCGGGTTAATAGCGGATTCCGCAGGGGATGGGGGTGGTGGGGGGGGAATTGCCCAGGTTGTGGGGGGGGGGGGGGGTCGAGGGGGAGGGGCACCACGCCATCAGGCTGGGCGCATGCGCACCCCCCAAAGGAGCCCGTCAGACCTTTCCCCCCCCCCTTCCTCCCCGGGGCGCATGCGCGAGTCGGCGAGCGCGCCATTTTCCTGAGGTTTGAACGCGGCTCCCGAGTCGCCATCGTTCTCGATTCACCCCCCAAAAAAAGGAAGAAAACAGGTAGGAGGAGGCGTCTCCGGCCCTGGCGGTACAGCGGCGGCTTTTCTCAGACTGGCGGGCCGGGGTGGGGGGGGGGGAGAGGAGGCGGCGGCGGCAGCAGCAGCAGGGGTCTATGGGCCGGAGCCGGGCGCGGCCTGGCCTCTTCACACGGGGCCGGTCCTTTCTGGCCGTCGCCTCTCCCGCTTTGTTTAACGGCGCCGCTCACAGACAGAGCCGTTGGTCACCGGAAGACCGGCGAGTTTCCTTTCCGCCGCTCCCCGCGCGGCATTCGCCGCCCGGGCCTATGGCTGAGGTCGGGTGAGGAAAGCCTGGCTGCCCACTCGAAGCGGTAGCGGCGGCGGTCCCCTCGCTGTCTGGTCTGACTCACTGACTGACCAACCGTCTGCCGTTTGAATTCAGTTCAAATTCGGCCCCGAGGCCGTTGGATCCGTCGTGGGCTGTGCGGTGGAGGAGGAGGAGGGGGGGGTCAACCTAACTTAACGCGAAGTGCTTTACCGCGGCGCTGATTGGCGGGCGCTCGGCGCACGTGGTCGGCGCTGCTTTGTCATTGGCCGGCGTGGCTGTCAATCACGGGGTGGGTGGGTAGTTCGGTTGCGCCGCAGTGCCCCGAGGCCTGGCCAGGAATGGAGAAGCGCCGCCCGGCTCCCGCTGCCGCTCCCACCTAGAGGCCGAGGCCGAGGCCGCACCTGTCTGCTCTCATCGCCTCCCCCCCGGGGTGAGTTAAGCAGGTTCTCCCCCCCCCCCCGCCCGGTTGCCTCTTACTCATGGTTTTCACCCACGGGATATTATTACGCGGGCGGTTCGCGTTACCGGCTGTATTCTGCGAAGCGCTTCAGGGCGTCTCGGAAGACTCGGCAAAGGCGCTCTAATCAAATGCAAGGATTATTCTCATCATTATTATTACTACTACTACTATCGCCGACCCGGGAGGTCAGGTGTCCCGGCTTTATAAAGAGACATAAACGATTGGATGCCGCTGGTGGTGATTGAATTTGCTGTGGATTTCTTCACCCACCGCCCTGTGAACTTGTTTGCGATTGACTTATTATTGTGTATTATGGTGACTTGGGGGGTTGTTTGTTTGTTTGTTTGTTTGTTTGTTGGCCTCCTGTGCACTGTCCCTCTGTCCGAACCACCCACTTGTTTGCGTTTCCTATTTATTGATCGTTTCAGGTTCAAATCTAACTTTGTTTTAAATGTTTTTTTCGCATTCTTCTTAGGGCGCTCTCTCTCTCTCTATATATATATATATATATATGTAAAATATATACATCAATGCAAGTTGTTGTTGTTGCATAATGTAACTTATTCTGAGAGTTGGTGGGTCAAAGGCGACGTTTACTGTTGACTTTCTCAACAAAACTTAACAGACCCGGTGGGAACACTCCAATCTTTTATTTCGTTTCCCAGTATGTTTTGAAGTACAGGAAACTACAGTTTTCCTTGGATAACTTTTATCGATCTATTTGTTAAAATTATTCTGGAGGGTAGGTATTTTGTGTATTGTCATAAATCAAGAATATATTGAAACCAATGTATATTTTTGACTGCCCTGAATATTAGAGAGAAAGGGAACTGGGAGTTCAGTGAAATAAAGTAAGAAGATGAAGAAAGTGAGTTTTGTGAGCAGATTCATGAGCAGCCTTGGCTGAAACCTTTGAGTAAACTGCCCTGTTATTTAAAAATGTAGTGTATATTGTACAGAAATGCTAAATAATGATTTGTAAATATTACAATAAGTAGTAAATATTAGTGAGTATTACAATTGGTTCATTTTTTATTTCAGACTTGTGAACATGGACCTCAGTGATGCCAATTTACAACTGCTGTCTGGATTCCTGAAGAAGACTCTTGATCCTGATCCTGTTGTTAGGAGACCAGGTAATTAGTTTGATTGAAACACAGTTAAAGTGATTGGTTGTTGAAGTTCAAGCAGGATGAGTTTAATTTTCTCTGAAGTGTACGAAGAGGTAATATGTAATCGTAAATATGAGTTATCTAAATGTGAACAAACTTTGTAGAAGTTTTCTACAAAACAAATATCTTGGTCAGGCAATCTGCATCAAAAAAANCAAAAGGCTGCAGCTTTACACAGGCAAAACGCTGATGTTGCCCAAACTATTAAACAGGCCCCATGGCTCCATTCCATTGTTTCCAGTTCTGTTTTGAAGGCTTGAAGTGGAATATCAACTTCAAGCCTTTTCTTTTCTCCCCACACAATATAGTTAGAAAGCACCTTTACTCATTTTAATAATCTAGTCTGGCACTTCAAAAAAAATATTTATTGTTTGACTCTGTTCCCACATTTCTTCCTCTGGTTCAAAGCTAATGTTTAAGAAAGATGCAGTTGGAAACTCTTGTTGAGAAGATGTTATAATTTTAAACTTCCATTTTTTGTTATTTTATGCTTGTTGAGAAGTTGATATATTCTTCTGTCAGGGGATTGCATCCCTTCAAATGTTATAATTTGGGCTGTGATTTAATAGTTAGTGAATGGAGAAAACTCAACGAAGTTATGTAGTTACCTTTTACTTACATGATATTGTGTACAGCTTTGTAAAACGTAAATATAAATTGTTGATAGTAATCCTATCAGGTTTGGGCTGCACATGGCTGTTGAAGAATAAAATCTATGAACAATAAACCTGAGGGAACTCATTCAGGATTCTTCTGTCTGCATAACTGAAGTACAAACATTGTTTCTTAGCTGAAAAGTTTCTCGAGTCTGTGGAGGCAAGCCAGAACTACCCGCTACTGCTGTTGACTCTTGTTGAGAAGTCTCCAGACACTGTCATGAAAGTGTGTGCAAGTGTAACTTTCAAAAACTACATCAAAAGAAATTGGCGAATTGTAAGTAACTTATCGGATCAATGTGTTCCAGTCATATTGTCATATTAATCATACAATTGAATTCAATACAGGCCTCTAATGCTTTATAGAAAAGTAGAAGTTAAGGTAAACAAAATGCTTATTGCGAACTTTCATTATGAATGTGTTGGAAATGAACAAATGGATAAATTGTTTACATCAGATTATGATCTGATGTAAATAACTGATCCGCTAAATACAGGCATGTATAATCTGCATAAACCAATCATTTGGAGAATGCTTTGGAGGAGAGGAATGTGACAACATGTCTGTCTGTTCTTCAGATTGAAGATGAGCCAAACAAAATCTGTGAAGCAGACCGAGTGGCTATTAAAGCCAATATTGTGAACCTCATGCTGAGCAGTCCTGAGCAGATTCAGAAACAGGTATTTTTTTTATTTCTGATCGTAGAAAAAGTAATCAATTACTTATTCAGTCTTCTGAATAACATTGTTTATTCGCGGGGTAGTGCTCCGGGACGCTATCGCATGTGAAAGGCACTGTATAAATTTATGTTGTTGGTGTTTCCTTTTAGCTGAGTGATGCTATCAGTATCATTGGCCATGAAGATTTCCCTCAGAAATGGCCGCATCTTTTAACAGAAATGATCAATCGATTCCAAACTGGAGACTTTCATGTTATTAATGGAGTACTTCGAACAGCACACTCCTTATTTAAAAGGTAATGGTTTAGTTTGGGGAGAAGTCGCTGGTGTTTTTTAAAAAAATTATATTATGATATATTTGATATAAGAGCAAAAATCAATTCTTCCTGATCTCTTGTCTACTTTTCACATCACAAGGTATCGCCATGAATTCAAATCAAATGAACTGTGGACGGAGATTAAACTAGTGTTGGACACTTTTGCAGAGCCCTTAACTGTACTCTTCAAGGTAAGCACCACTTCTCTATTGTACATTAATGTGTTATTATTCATTATTTTTCTTAAAATCCAGCTGTGAGATGCCTGGACTTTGGTGAAGAATATTTCCATGTGTTTTTAAATTCCAATGTGTCATTATCTTACAGTGAGCCTTAGTCAATTTGTTCTGAGATTTATTAGTGACTTTCATTAATCAAATGCTGTGAAATGAAATTGCAGAACGTATGAAATGTATGTAGAACTGCCATTTTTAAATCTCAGGAATATTACTCCCTTATTTTGTTTCAATCCTGAATTGTTTCTATGGGATTGAGTTTGTTTGAAATGTCAGCATAGTTGTACATGTTCTATCAACTATTATATCCTTGAACTTTTGCAGACAACTATTGAGCTCTGCCGTACACATGCCAAGGATGTCAATGCGTTGAAAGTTCTCTTCTCTTCCCTGGTTTTGATTGCTAAACTGTTCTACAGCTTAAACTTTCAGGTAAGTCAACACTTCAGGTGAAATGTTGTAAACTGCCTTCATTAAATTGTTGCTGAGTTAATATTTTTTTATTTTCTATTCTGTAGGATTTGCCAGAGTTTTTTGAGGACAACATGGAAACCTGGATGACCAACTTTCATAGTCTACTCACTTTGGATAATAAATTACTGCAGACTGATGTAAGTGGTTGAAGTTTTGCGATTTATTTAGTCCTTTTCAGTACATTTATATATTTTTTAAAAAATTACTTTTGATACTTGATTTGGATCAAAAACAATTTAACTAAATGGACTCTGCTGGATGGGATAGGGAGGAAGAGAAATGTATGGATTATCAATATGAATTAACCTAGTATTATCTTAATGAAGGGATTTTGGTCATACAATCATGTTTTTTGAAGTATCATTGGAAATTGAAGTCAGTTGTCATTCTGTTTGCTTGCACTATGAATGTGGAAGCACTGACCAACACTTAATCTTTGTTAAAGTGCTTGTTGGAATTTTATGCAATTCCAACTGTGAGTTATAACAGGGTCCTACTATAATTTACAAAGGCTTTTAAGCACAGTCGTGCTGAAATATGTTCATAACTTGCTTTCAAGAATAATTTGTTCCTGGGAGTTTGTTTGCCAAGATCTCTTCTGAAGCCCCAAAAGACTTCTTATGTATACTTGTAAACTATAATACAGACTGTTCATAAATAGCATGCGTCTCAACAAGCGCAGCTGTTATGTAGTCATGATGCAAGGTGCCATTGAGTCATTGGGATCTCCAATATACTTGTGTGACATACTTGATAATATGGAGGACACTGAAATTAAAAATGAGTGGTGAAGTAGGACCTGCCTATTAGTTGGTATAATAGTTCCTTTCCTTCTCCTACAGGATGAAGAAGAAGCTGGTTTGCTGGAGTTGTTGAAGTCCCAAATCTGTGACAATGCTGCACTGTATGCTCAAAAATATGATGAGGAATTCCAGCCCTACCTACCCCAGTTTGTGACTGCCATTTGGAATCTCCTTGTTACAACTGGACAGGAAGTGAAATATGATTTGGTGAGTTTGCAGCGATAGAATCTATTAATGAAGACAAATGAGAGCCCTGAAAGGCTCATTTTATCTTTTTATTAAAGAAAGTACTTATTTTTGCTCAAATCTTTAGCCATGGAGTAGTGAGATGGAAGTGCATGCCTGATCCTAGTGAGTGTCGACTGGGCTCTTGCATCCACCACCTCCACCACCCCCCCTTGTGGCTGCATATAAGATGGTACTGATACAAGCTGAAGAGCGGGTTATCTTGTCTGTCCCTATAATTGGGGAATGGAGTGTGGTGACTTGACAAGGACACGAGTGGTGATGATGTGAACGTGGGTATCCAAATAAAATAACCAACTATTTGGATAGTGCAATTCTGTCTCTGCATGTTGGTTCCCTTCAATCTCCTTTTCTATAAAATAGCTAAAGAAAGTATTACTGATGCAGGATTGTTGAGGACTTGCTTGATGACAACAGCAGATAACATTTGTATAGCACCTTTCACTTCGGAAGGACATACCAATGTGCTGGACAGTCGAGGATTTGTAACAAAGCTGTGTTATCGTCAAAACTAGAACTGATGAACGTGTACCTGAAGGAATGTCTGTATTCCAAGTGGTCTCTCGGGGATTTTTTAAAATACTGCTCTATTCCATTCTTCTAGCTGGTGAGCAACGCTATCCAATTCCTTGCATCTGTTTGTGAAAGACCACACTACAAACATCTGTTTGAAGACCAGAATACACTAACCAGTATTTGTGAAAAAGTTATCGTCCCAAACATGGAATTTAGAGGTAATCAGCAATCTAGTAATACAGTGCTTGATATACCCATTGACTGCTCTCGTGACTTTTTGGGTAAATGCATTGCTTGGTGTGGGATAGAAACAACGAGGGCCTCTGGAGTTTAGTAGTCTGGGACTGTCATCTGATCTTGGCTGGAACAGGTGTCCCTGGGGTAGAGAGGAAATTTAACCCAAATTCCAGCTCTTAAGCACTCTCCAATGACCCCTACAAGAAAGCAGGTGACTTTAGGATAAGATCATGCTTGTTTTGATGCCAGCTATGACTTTATTGGCTGACAACAATCCTTGTCTGGGTTCAAGGTGCTGGAGAGTAGTCTGTTCCCAGCATTAGGCCCTGCCTTTAAGAGTGGAGAAATGGGAAAGGAAATTGTATGTGACCCTTACAATTTCTATTGTGGTAGATCAAGAGCAAGCACTGCATTAAATGTCTTCATCATGGTTGGTCGAAATTTTGCCAAGATTTTAAATCTTGATTTTTGAATTGAATGTACAAATAACATTTTTGTGAGTTATTTAGAGTGCTGTAAATTTGCTTAGTTGATTCCAAAGGGACGTTTTTAATGAAGTCAAAACTTCTGAGTCTCAACAGAAAAATACCAATGCCTGGAGGTTGATGGTGGATATCTGAGGCCCTTGAGGAAATTTCAACATGTGTTTTGGTTCTAGCTGCTGATGAAGAGGCCTTTGAGGATAATTCCGAAGAGTACATAAGAAGAGATGTAGAGGGCTCAGGTAATTGTCAGAGTTATTTCATTGTCACAGTTTGTCTAGTTACAAAGATAAGAGTCCTTGGGCACAGACAACTTTCATTTGTTGGTGTTAACGTACATCTTTGTGCATTGTTTGTGCTTTGAATATTTGGCTTGCTATTGAACCTTGAAGTAGGGATAGATATGATTGAGGTCCTTAAAATGCTAAAGCATTGCGAATATATATTTAAGCAAGTTATTTGGCTTTCACATTGAGCCCAAAGCTAGTGTATATGAGTTGCTTCAAGCAAGATTATCTCCTCCACCCCACAGAAATAGTGGGTTCGTAAAACAGACTTGAGCAAAACCAGTTAATGCTGCAAATTGAAACTATTTTTAAAAAATTCTGTAGTAAATACTGTTACCTACCCCCTCTTCTGTTGTATTAAATAACATTTCTTTACAGACATTGACACCAGGAGACGAGCAGCTTGTGATTTGGTGCGAGGTCTTTGCAAATACTTTGAAGGGCCTGTAACAGCAATATTCTCTGGCTATGTAAATTCCATGTTAGACCAATATGCCAAAAATCCTTCTGTTAATTGGAAACACAAAGATGCTGCAATTTATCTGGTAACATCGCTTGCTTCGAAAGCTCAAACTCAAAAGGTATTGTTTTGCTGTCATTTACATTATTTGTATTATGCAGCCTATTTGTTTTATATTTGATCATGAGCTAATTTTTTCTTTCTGTTTTCAGCATGGAATAACTCAAGCAAATGAGCTTGTAAATTTAACGGATTTCTTCATTAATCACATATTATCTGACTTAAAATCGCCAAATCGTGAGTTGAAATAATTAATGTATTTTTACCAAATTGTAGATTGTGCTTTTGAGCTACATTTATACTAAGTGTTTTTTTCCTATTACTTGAAGTGTGAGTTTTATTTGGAAATAGCTGATGTTATTTAACATCTTCAAGGCTGAGACTGATAGATTTTTAAAAAACAGAGGGATTAGGGGATATGGGGATAGGGCAGGTAATTAGAGTTAGGTCTGAAGATCAGCCATGACCTTATCGAATGGAGGGGCAGGCTCGAGGGGCCGAATGGCCTACTCCTGCTCCTAATTCTTATGTTCTTAAGTAAAGGTATCGTTTGATTAACATTTTAAAGCAAACCTGTAAACTTGATGCAACAGAATAATCGACCCGCTCTTGCATCTCTTTGCAGGTAGCAAAGAGAAGCATTGGTGTTAAGCATTTGTGCTGGAATACTGAGTTGCTCTCGTTTTGAAGTGTTGCTTCTAGAATGTATTTTGTTTTAGCCATGAACAATTCCAATCCAGTAGTTTGGCATTTTATCGATTTTTATCATGCGCTTTGATCTTTTTCAGTGAACGAGTTTCCTGTGCTGAAAGCAGATGCTATTAAATACGTCATGATCTTTAGGAGTCAGGTACAAATATTTTAACTCTGTACCAAACTGGTGTTGACGTCATCAATTACTTCTATATATTTCAGACTAATGTGCAGTTAGTAATTGTAGTATACAGTCCTGCACAGAAATAGTCTATTCAGCCTGCCAAAGCCTATTTTGCCATTATATTACACCACAGTAGTCCTTTTAAACCTATTTTCCTGCCCTTTCTCTGTATCCCTTACTGCTCTTAATATTCCAATTGATCCTGCTTAAATATCCGAATCAATTCAGCATTCAAAAACATTGTTTTGTTTTTGTAAAGGTGATAGATTGTAATTGTATTGATACAAAATGTTTCATTCTACATTAATAAATCTTATTGTCACTATGGTCTTGCAGCTTCCAAAGGAACAACTTTTGGTGTCCCTGCCCATGTTAATTAACTACTTGCAAGCAGAGAGCATTGTTGTTCATACATATGCTGCTCATGCTCTTGAAAGGATCTTCACGATGAGAGGACCAGATAATGCTACTCTGTAAGTATCATTTGCGTGAACATTTTAGATTTTTCTTGTTTATCGGGTGTCCAGATATGTTATTTTTCGACTTGTACATCATGACAAGATGCAGTGTATATACAGAAGAATAGGAATGTTGCAACAATAAAAAGCATGTATCAACCTCCTAGCACAAGTTATCAATCAACAGTAATGTCAAGCAGAACTATTCCTAGGAGAACCAGAAGAAAATTGATCAGTAGTTGGACCAGCATAAGAAATTATGAAATTGGCACTGGAAATGTATTGGGTCATATTATTTGGACCTGAAGGGTTAGTAAAAGTAGCTTGTACCTGGGACAGACATCATGGCAGATTAAAACAAGGAAAACTGGTACATAATAAGTATGGGGACAGACTGTGTATCCCTCTCTAATCTTTAATACAATTGGGTAGTATTCAGTGGTTGAACAAACTGCTCTATTGATATTTTTATCTTTGCAGAATCTGTTCTGCAGAGCTGGCGCCCATGGTTGAACTGTTGTTAACAAACCTCTTTAAAGCTCTGACTCTACCTGGGTCAAGTGAGAACGAGTATGTTATGAAAGGTGAGGATTATTTTGTTAGATTAACGTAGTTTGTAGGTGTCTTGAATATTGCTTCTATATGCCAAATCAGATATTCTTCTATTTCTACAAATTTGTTCCCTGTCATTTCTTAACAGGTAAACTTTGTATCTGACACCATGATCTGAATCATGTCATTGAATCAAGAGAAGTGATTACCTTTTGGGATACAAAGAAGCAATAAATGTCATTTATAGCCTAATAGCAGATTACTCCAGTTTATTTTTCATTTTGATGTGCAGTGTTTTCATAAGAATAAAATAGTGTTTATGCCTTCTCTAAATCACTCAGGAATTCGAATTTGTCTCTTGCTAATCCTCTTTTCCACGCTCTGCTCACAGCCATTCACTACACATTCAGCCTTTAAGAAAAAGGGAAAATGAAGTAGATTGGCCTGTATGCTGCACATTCCATCTGAAAGGATGGGAGGCAAGCAAGCCCTGCTGTCTTGCATTTTGAGTGCAGGAAAAGTGTTTGGGCAGTAAAACTGTTCACCTAGTTGGCCAAGGAAGTATGCTCAGTCCATAGAATTGTAAAAGTGATTAAGGAGATAATCTACTGAAACTTTTGTCTTTTATTTACAGCTATTATGAGAAGTTTCTCCCTTCTCCAGGAGGCAGTTGTCCCTTATGTTCCCACACTCATCACCCAGCTAACACAGAAACTGTTGTTGGTCAGCAAGGTAAACTACCTCTACTACTTTAAAATTTGCTTTGTGTTTACTTCAGATTGAAAAATCAAATTCTTTAACAAAAAATTGAATGCAAACTTTGAATGTTACTGTATTGCTAAGAGAAACATAGCTTTTACTAGCAGCAAGGCATTTTGTTTGGGCACCAGTTTGTTAATTTTGAAGTCTAAATTAAGTCCATTTTAAACTTGTTCCAGAATCCCAGCAAGCCACATTTTAACCATTATCTGTTTGAGTCTCTCTGCCTTTCTGTGCGGATAACCTGCAAGGCAAACCCCACCACAGTGAGAAGTTTTGAAGAAGCTCTCTTCCCAGTGTTCACAGAGATTCTGCAGAATGATGTGCAAGGTGAGCTTCTTAACGCTGAGTTTACAAATGTGTATTTTTGACTAAACCTGATGCAAGGATGGACAGCAAAGTGGATGAAGTGAAAAGCTTATTATATAACATGGGCTTGGATAAAGTGGGAATAAAATTGAAAGTCTTCTAATGTTTCAGTTGTGGCTGCTACTGCTATCACACAGGGATTACATGCATCAAATCTGAAATTGCAATTGGTCATTGAACATTTCAGAAGCCTTACTTGCTCTTCTGCTTTTTAGAATTTCTTCCTTACGTGTTTCAAGTGATGTCTCTGCTCCTGGAAATCCACACAGCTGATATCTCTCCATCCTACATGGCTCTCTTTCCTCATTTGTTGCAACCACTCCTCTGGGAACGTGTAGGGAACATCCCACCTCTTGTGAGATTACTTCAGGCTTTCCTGGAGAAAGGAGCAAATACTATAGCTACAGCAGCACCTGATAAAATTGTAAGTGAGATCAATTTCCTTCTTTGTACATCATCTGTTATTGGTACTTTAACCACTTTAATGGTTCAGCCACTTTAGCGGCTGAATGAAATTGTGTGAAGTTACATTAAAAGCCGCAAGTGCGTAAACCCACGACGATTTACATATTTTTTTGTCCACAAAAATAGTCAATTCACTTGACAGTATATTCTTGGAAGCACTTTGAGACGTCTCGAAGACGTGATAGGGCACTATATCAAATACAAGGATTATTATTTATTATTATATAGCACCCTTTTCTCAAGGTAGCATTCTCATTATGACCATGACAAGACCAAAAAGAATAGTATTTTGGAATAATATCTGCAGTCGTATAATCAATTATCCTGCCAAACCCATTTGTTTAAGATGTTAATAAAGATCTTGTGCACTAAGTATGAATATTTCTTGATTATTTTTGTCTGATCCTTAGCCAGGGTTACTGGGAGTTTTCCAAAAGTTAATTGCATCCAAAGCAAATGACCATCAAGGCTTCTACCTGCTTAACAGTGTAATTGAGCACATGCCTCCGTAAGTATTGCTATGAACGTTTTTAGATTATTGTATCCATGAAGAAATGTTATTTCTAACTGATCTGTCTTGTTTTTATGAATCTCAGGGAGATCATGCACCAATACAAGAAGCAGATTTTTATTGTTCTCTTCCAGCGACTTCAAAACTCAAAAACAACCAAATTTGTCAAAAGTAAGTGAAATCTTATTTTAGTAAGTAGGTCTTTGTTTAGAATTTGAAGTAAAAACCTTGAATTCATAGACTGAATCTTTCATGCTCAATGTTTTCCAGCTTCTTCTCCTTTCCTGCCCTAATTTACATTTGTGTTTTTTGACAGGTTTTCTGGTGTTTGTTAACCTTTATGGTGTGAAGTATGGAGCAATAGCCTTACAGGAAATCTTCGACAGTATTCAGCCAAAGTATGTTACTGTTTTGACAACAATTATTTACACTTAAATAGCTCATTTTTCATTGGGAGAACATCTCAAAGCACTTCTAGTTTAAAAAAAACACTGTACCACAGGGCAGGTGAAGCTACAGCACAAATTCATATCACCACAAATAATGTTTTCTGGTTTCATGTTGCTTCACAATTGCCTCTGGTACATAGCGTGATTTAAAATTTAAATTAGTTTGGTAGGATGTTTGATTCCCTTGGTTTAGGACAATGGTTCCAATTGCTGATCACTAACCAAGTGACTCCTGTTGGAAAGCGCCTGCGTATGAATGTTGGCAAAGATAGTATCGAGCTCAGCTGTAAGTAAGTTTGATTAACTTATCAACACTCCTCACACGCGCTCATGCAGAATACCTACTTGACTGAGGCACTAGAAAACATGTAGCACCTGTGGAATCGAACCCCTACATGATTAGGAACCTTTATTAGAAGAGAAAGAACAAAATATTCTTGGGAGTTTTTTTTTAACTTATATATTTAACGTTGCATCTATTATTAAATGACAATCTTGCTAACAATTTTGAGAGATGTATTTGGTAAATGTTAACCTGTTTGTCATCAGTTTTCTAAAGTGATCCTATTCCATTGTTGTAGAATGTTCGGTATGGTTTTAGAAAAAATCGTTGTTCCAGAGGTACAGAAGGTGTCTGGGCAGATTGAGAAAAAAATCTGTGCAGTGGGAATTACAAAGATCCTTACAGAATGTCCCTGCATGATGGACACTGACTACACCAAGCTGTGGTAAGATGTCTGCCAAGGTGTCATTGTGCATGTGCTCAATGTTTATTGAATTATTTTCACTTATGTCAATGGGCTCACCAAATGCAGACCTTTCTGGTAGAACACAGCTTTGCGTCTGTAGTTTCTCCTGGAGGGCTGTAGGATATCCCTCAGTTAATGGAAAGATTTTTGGGAAACATTCTTAAGAGTTGTTACAGGATCCCTTTTGCCTACTGAGGTGAGAAATTGAGCGTGACTGATGTATAGGTTGAAACAACAGGTGGCTTTTGTTCAGTTTTTCAGTGGAGTTCTGAATTTCAGGGAGTTTGTTTTGGGGAGGTTGAAGATTATCTTAATGGAGAACAACAAAATGTAGATACAGTTTTGAGTTAAAAATCTCCATTTGAGAGTTAAAGAATTAGTAGAGCAAAATCTGATTCTTTGTTTCCCCTTCATTACCTATCCTCTATAAAACAGGACTCCTTTGCTACAAGCACTTATTGGTTTATTTGAATTGCCTGAAGACGACAGCATCCCTGATGATGAACATTTCATTGATATTGAGGATGCACCGGGTTACCAGACTGCTTTCTCCCAGCTGGCCTTTGCAGGAAAGAGAGAACATGATCCCATTGGTGCATCAGTGAGCAATCCTAGAGTCCATCTGGCTCAGTGTCTCCACAAACTCTCCACAGCATGTCCAGGCAGGGTAGGTATCAGTATTCTGTGTGTTTCATTTTAATTTCCTGCAACTCCAGAAAATCTGATCTCCTTGGACTGACCACGTTTCTGATTGTTGCCACTTGTCGATTTGTTTTGAAAGTCTGCTTTGTTTCGTTATATGGGGTATTCCTGGAATTCTTTCTTTTGATGTTATCAGTTACCTTAAGTAATTTGGGGCCTTTCACAGCTGTCCCTCATGATACTCAATCTAGTATTTCTAATTCACGCAAAGCAAATATTCTCAAAGGTGGTTAAAAACTTTAGACATCTTAGAATTTGCTGCTTCCAGTCCGCATCTGAAATTCAGTGAGGCAGATGATCCGAGAGGATATTCTTTCATATTGATTTTTTTTGTGAATACAATGAACTAAGTAATTCAAAACTCCCCGAAATACGTGTGGGTGAGGGGCATTCCTACTTAAGTGCCATAATTGAATTTGTTTTGAAACCAATTAATTGTGTGATCTTTTCTTTTTAGGTGCCATCAATGATCAGCACAAGTTTAAATGCTGAGGCTTTACAGTATTTGCAAAGCTATCTTCAGGCTGCAAGCGTGCAACTGGTTTGAATTTGTTTTGACTAAAGACTTTTTTTTTAAAAGGCTCTTTCCGTAGGTGCTTGCACGGAGAACATCATTAGTGTATGCGGTAGGAATAAACCTGGGAAATAGTTGAATCACTGGCTGGAGATGATTGACTAACTTTGTCAAATAGTGTTAGCCAATATCTGTTCTGTGTAGATTTAACATTTCATGAACTCTTTGGATACACTATTTGTCTTTATTTATGTTCTCTAAAATACTCTGATTGAAGAAATGTGAAACAAAGTACCCACATATGCATTGATCTGTACAGTTATTCCAGTGTAAAATAAAATTGAAAATTATTCAAAACTTTTTTTTAAAAAAACACTGTAGGCAACCAGATAACTTAATATGCTATCAATTGATGGAATATAGACTTGTATTTATGATTCTCTATGGGGGGGTTTGATCATATGCTAGTATTTTAAAAATAGGGTTGTTCGGTGCTTTTTGCATCTTAAGTCCATTTGAAACCAAGCAGTTTGACATTCATTTCCTTGGAAGTGATATTTGCTGAAAGGATGTTAACAATGATTTTTTTCAGGTGGGTAATTCCTTGTTTTAGTTCTGAACAGAAGCATCAAACCATGAGGTTTGATGGGAAATTTAATGATTGTTGCAAACTTCTTGAGAATATTCCAAAATGGTTAAGCTTGCGCGTTTACTCTTCACCTCTGATTAATACAATAGAAACTACTTTAGAACAAACTATGTGTATCTTTGGGGAATTGAAAGCTGCTGCAGACTTTGATACTAGTGTAGAATAAAATAAAATTCATACGGGTAATGGAATTAGGAGTGGGAGCACAGTAGGATTGAACGAACACTTTGCTCGGAGCAGGGGCAGAAACTCGATGGGGGCGAATGGCCTCCTCCTTGTGCTTTAAATGATTTCCCCAATTATTTTGGGGGGTGGGGAGGCTTGTGTGTATAGAGTGGTGAGTGCGCGCTGCTCTTCACTCCCCCCCCCCGGGCGTTTGGGAGATAATAAGCTGGGAATACCGTATATAGTTTGGGACGTGACATTCCAAGCAAAACCAACTGCCGGGACGGTGGAAGACGAACGAGAGTGGACCCCGGTCTTCCTTCGCCCAGCAAATTCTTGCGCTCGTCATCATGAGCGTCCCGTAGCGTATTGGTTGGAGCGCTCGCCCGGCGAACGAGAGGAACCGAGTACGGTGCCCAGGCAGAGCGAGACCGTAGGCAAGTTTCCTCACTCCCCCCACGCGCGCGCGCCCGCGGGCCTCTGTTTACCGAGCGGTAAGTTGGACCCCGGCCGTTGTGTCGATGGGCGGATCGCTTATTACCGGGCGCGGTGGTGGGGGGGGGAGGGGGGTTGGGAGGGGGTAATAATTCCTCCGCATGCGATCGCTCGACCCAGGAGGGTGGGCTGGACGTCGCCGCGCGCGCTCGTCGGCCGCGTCTGAGCCGCACGCGCAACGCGTGCCCGCGAAGCGCTTCGAGACGCCTCGAAGACGTGAGGTCATCATCATCATCACCACCACCACGTTGGGCAGCTCGACCAGCTGTGTGGGGGGGGGGGGCGCGCAGGCGCAGTGTGAGAGTGAAGGGGGGGAGGAGGAGGAGTGTAAACTCGGGGACGTCACGTCCGGCGGCGCGGGGCTCTCTGGGAAGGTGAAGCGAGCGGGTTAAGGTCGGTGCCGCCGCCGCCGCCGGGTTTTCGTCTGATTTCTCTTCAGGGGTTTGCCTTGTGTCGCGGCCCTCGAGGAGGAGGAGGAGGGGGGCGGGGAAGGAGGAGAGGGGGATCTTGGGTGGGGGGGGGGGAGGGAGGGAGGGAACGAAGAAGAAGAAGAAGAAGAAAGGGGTGAAAAGAAGAAGAAGAAGAAGAAGGAGGGAAAAAAAGGAGAGAGAAAGAAAAAGAAGAGGAAAAAAAAACACCGCCGCCCCCCCCCCCTCCCCCACACACAGGGAAAAGCTTTCCATCTTATTATAACTGTGTTAATTATTCTTTAATCCGCCCCCACACACACACACACACACACACAGAAAGAAAATATATATATATATTTATATAAAGAGAGAAAAAAAATACCGCCGCCCCCCCCCCCCACACACACCCCCTCACACACTCCCTCACACACTCCCTCCACCTCCTCCTCCTCCAGAGCCGCCGCCGCCGCCGCTTCTTTCTCCACGTGAATGGGATTGATTTCGTTTCTTCAGGAAGAAAGAAGAAAAGAAGGAGGAAAGAAAAAGAAAATTTCGTGGTGGGGGTTTTGGCTTTTTTTTTGGGGGGGGGGAGGGAGGGAGGGGGTGGGTGGTGGGGGGAGAGGGTGGAGGAGAGGAGAGATTTTTTTCACCCCCACCTTGTGGCATTGGAAGAAAAGGTGATATGAGAGAGAGAGAGCGAAAGGAAATAACTTTTTATTGTTTGTTTATTTGTCGGGGTGTTGGGAGGCTCTAGTGTCTGTGTGTCTGTCTGTGTGTGTGTGTGTGTGTGGGTGTCTGTCTCTGTGTGTGTCTCTGTCTCTGTGTGTGTGTGTCTCTGTCTCTGTGTGTGTGTGTCTCTGTCTCTCTGTGTGTGTGTCTGTCTCTCTGTCTCTCTGTGTGTGTGTCTCTGTCTCTCTGTGTGTGTGTCTCTGTCTCTCTGTGTGTGTGTCTGTCTCTGTGTGTCTCTCTCTCTCTGTGTGTGTGTCTCTGTCTCTCTGTGTGTGTGTCTCTGTCTCTGTGTGTGTGTGTCTGTCTCTGTGTGTCTCTGTCTCTCTGTGTGTGTGTCTCTGTCTCTCTGTGTGTGTGTCTCTGTGTGTGTCTCTGTCTCTCTGTGTGTGTGTCTCTGTGTGTGTCTCTGTCTCTCTGTGTGTGTGTCTCTGTCTCTCTGTGTGTGTGTCTGTCTCTGTGTGTCTCTGTCTCTCTGTGTGTGTCTGTCTCTGTGTGTTTAACGGGGTGTTGGGAAAGGAGAGAGAAGGGGAGGATTGTGGAGACTCGAGCCTTCTGGAGGGGAGAGAGAGAGAGAGAGAGAGGGGGCAAAGCCCTTCCCCACTCCCCCCACGGGGGACCCTCCAGCCCCTCAAACTTTTAGTTCAAACCGCTTATGGTGAGGGCCTCGGTTCCAGTGGTCAGTGGGGTTGTTGCCCAGGGCCGGTGCTGTGGTATGTGTGTGTGTGTGGGGGGGGGGGGGAGGGGTGTGTAGGTTTTTTTTTGGGGGGGGGGGTTGTAGTTTGAATGAATCCCGACTAGGCCGCGTTACAACTAACACCCACTTCCTTCCTTCCCCCGATTCCCCCTCCTTTGCCATCCCAACTGGGCTCTCTCTCAACGTCGCCCTTCGTCCAGAGAGAGAGAGTGAGTGAGAGAGAGAGAGAGAGAGGGGGGGTTTAATCTCCGCGGGGGGTCTTGTTGCTCGTTGCAGGAAAGGGCGACGTTCGCAGATGGTTCCCGACAATGCCGAAAGAAGTGAGCTCCAAGTAAAGCGGCTTTCAATTGCGATCCCGTTGGGCTTTGTGCACCACCGAGAGAGAGAGAGAGAGAGAGAGAGGCATGTCAAAAAAAAAAATAATAATAATTTTAATTTTTTTTTGGAGGGGGGGGGTGGGAACCGCCGAGGAAACTGAAGTGGAGCTGAATCGAATCTTTCGCCTGACCCCAGACGCTTCCGAAATAGGTTCAGGTTTTATGATTGATCCGCCTGTTGGATCAATCATCAGGGACAGTGCAAGGTTGGGGAGGGGGTGAGACGTGCTGCTGAAGTCTGAGCTCGCTCCTCGCTCCTCTGCCCCACTGCCCCACTGGCCTTGCGAGCAAATCCTCACTGGATGCTTTAAACGAGATAAAGTGAGCAGCACGAAAATGTAGCTGTTGTATTTTGTGTGTGTGTGTGTGTGTGTGTTTTTGTAGCTTTAGCTGATTTTGGGCAAAAACACAAGAGTTCGCTGGGAACACTTTGGGGGTCCCGTGTATGCTTGACTTCGGTTAGTCTGCACTTTTATGCAAGTGCAAGATGAAACTTTACCTGGCAATGGTGATTTAGCATTTGATCGCATTTGCCAGGTAAAACTCTTGCCTTGAGTTAACAGTAGAATCACTTGAGCAACAATTCAGTTAAATGTTAAGATGAACGTTTGATTCTTCTAACTTGTATCCTGTGAAGTTTTTTTTTTGTTAATCCTCTTTTCTTTTCCCCCCCTCAGATAAAATCCCGGCTTCTGCGTGTTCCTAATCTTATCCTGCCCTGGATGCTTCTGTAAAACCTTCATATACACGCACCTCTTCTGGTTTGAAGTTACTGAGTTGCAAGTGTGAAATGGCTCAGATTCAGATTCTTCACCCACCCTCCGCGCTATCGCAGCCTCTGATGGGCGGCATGGTTGGCCAGAGCATTCCCTCTGTTATTGGTGCTCTGCCATCGGAGAGTGCAACTCGGCCTGTTCAAAGCTCCGCTTTACCCTCCGCATCTGCTACTTCCAACGACACAGCTGCAGGTACCTACTGATTCACAGTGAAGTCCATGTTCAACATGCTAATTGCTTCCATGTGACGGTGACTCGAAAACTGACAGAGCATCTTTGAAATTGTAGTCACTTTCTATATTTTTATATTTTAATTTGGGAGAGGAATGTGTGGAGTTGGAATGTAATGAGTTCCTTGATTTAGAAGAAAATTAAATAGGGCAGATTGTGCTACGTTTCAAATGCTGTGCATTTTTTATTTTAGGCTTGAGTAGATGGCATTAATGCATTATTTTGCATTGAATTTGGTGAAGCCTAATTGTCAATCCTTAGCCTTTTAATTCTTTTTGACATTTTCAATTTTTATTCTGGTTTCTTCTGCCATATGCTTTTTTAATATGGATGATAATGGATTTACACATTGACTTATTATTTTAGTTTATTACCCTTTGAGTGACATTTGTTTTGCCCATTTCCCTTTTTATTTTGCATCTCACTTCTCCATAGTACCCAATTTCCTAATTTTACAATTCAAATTTATTGCTTCAAAGGTTCCTTTAAGGACAACAGGCCTAACTTGCTTAATGTTTCCTTAACCATTGGCATGCCCTGTATAACCATTTGTAGTAATAATAATTCTTGCCTTTGATACAGCACCTTATCACGTCTTTGAGACGTAATATTCACAGAATATAGTGTGAAGTGAATTGACTGTATATTTTGTGGGTAAAACGTGGCAGCCAATTGCACACAGCAAGAATCCTTGGTAAATTTCATTAGATGTACTTTGTATGTATTTGTCTGAATGTTCACACTCATTTACTAACCAGACAGGAGTAAAGGTTGTTGCTCTGTGTTGATTGTATCCATTTTTTCTTTCAGTTCTTTTAAACATGACAAACCCCAAAGAGAAAACCCCCATGTGTCTTGTGAATGAGTTAGCCCGTTTCAACAAGATCCAGCCAGAGTACAAGCTTTTGAATGAACTTGGTCCAGCTCATGCGAAGGTAACTGGAAATGTAATTAAAATTACTATTTTTTCCTTTGTGCGTTCTGTGTGTTATGAATAAACTGATTTTAAATTGTGTGGGTGCTTTCCGTGCCATTTAAAAAAAAACTGAAAGTGATCCACTTTCTTAAGATGTATTTGGGAAAAGCCAATCCAGTTTTTACGCTAAGAATATTTTTATGCTATTGCAATGCGCTGTTCGGTGTCTGAAGTTCATTTATATAATTATCTAGAAATAATGTAGGAATGCCGTAAAGCACTCTTTTCCATTAAAGTATCTTGGTAACAGTATAACTTGGTACCAACCTTGGGAAATGTACCTGCAGAATTTTTTAATAGTTAGTACATTTCCATAAGCACCTAAACATATCTGTACATTAATATCACTAGGTGGGGTTGAATGAAATGTATATTTGCAGTACAGTGTCCTTGGTGTTGGGGCGAGAACCAGTTATTTAGTAGACGTAGGTTATTCATATCTACGTGTGCTCAGTTTGCTATAATTGCAATTGGGGATATGGAAATAACTCTTAAACCTTCTTTGCTACAAAGGCAACATCTTAACCTCGATGAAGCCTATACTTCAGAGCAAGAATTAGCGATTGGTCCAGAAAAATGCCTATTGTAATGCAGATTTACAATGTAGGTTTCTTTTCCAAATGGATTTGGAATAAGCTCTCTCCTTGAAAGCTAATTTTTCACTTCATCTCTATGAGGTACTTTCTCTCAGACAATATTCCTCCAGGTATTGGAGAAGTCTGATTCCATTCATGGCGTAATAAGCATCCATTGAACATTGACATGTGGTTTCAGCAAGCTGCAATTGATAGATTATAATCAAATATACAAAGTGATTTATTTGTGAAACTCTGGAAGGAAACGTTTAGTGGAGTGTAAACATATTCCTGATTTCGTAAGCTTGACCTTTACTTATATGCTGCCTTACTTGGTATTGTTTTCTCTAGGCCTTAGCGCACTCTCCTCCCTCCCCATCACACAGAACAGCAATGGGCCATCTATGGTTTAACATGTTCCCTCAAGTCTTCAGTTAGGATGCTGAAAAAATTGCAGTAATAAAGTTAAGCGGTTCAATTGTGAATTATTTATTGTAACTAAAACCAATTATATTAAAGCACCATTTAAAATAGCATAAAAATCTTACCTCCTTCATCCTGTCAATTTGTTTTAAAAAAAATTCTAAACTTTTTTGACTAATTTTTCTACCTTCCCCCTATTCTAAATCTTGTAAAACATTCGTTTTACTGTCCATTTTGGCAGTAGCTACCTTTTATCTTTTAACTCTGTTTTTCATTGGCTGAAAACTGGATTTACAGGTGGATTTTTCCAGCCAATGAAAGACTGAAGATTGATGGAGCCGCATCTTTAGATGTGACCAGGTAAATCTTTGATGTGAAAATCAGTCAGAAAGTCCCAAGTGGAAGCCATAAATCAGCTAGTCCCTCCCACACGGATAAGGCACTGCATAAATGTGTTTCTTGGCTACCCATACAAGATAGGCTTAAAAATACTACCATAAAATATTCATATGCAGTATCTGAATTGATCTGAAATTTTAACTACGCGGTAAAACAGTTAAAGTTTCTCTGAGTTTTTTTTAGACGGGATTATTGTAAGCTTTTCTGTTTAAAGCAGCGACGTTAAATATCACATTGACAGTTTTCCATTTTTAGGGATTACAATGTGTTCTAAATTTACACTATGCGCCAAGCGCTCTTTTGGGATGCTCCAGTCAGGGAGCAATATTGACGGCCTCTCTAAAAATATTTCCCAGACTACACTTTGAAAGATTCCTCCACCATGAAGGGTAAATAAAGCGAAGGCACCGAGAAATGAAGAGATACTTTAAAGGAAAAGAGTGCAAATGCGTTTAATATGTGTCAGCCTGACACAGCTGGTAGTACTCTCCGAGTCAGAAGGTTGTGGGTTCAAGCCCAGCATTGGGTTTTTGAGTTCATAGATGGGCTGTAAGAGAACGGAGTTTCTCCTGGACTGTTGGTTAACAATCCTCCAGATAAAATTAGTGATTTGTTTCAATGGCAATTTGTGGGACATTGCTGTCCGCAAATTGGCCTTGTGTTTGTCGACAAAATGCACAGTCATTATGCTTTACAGTACATCCTATGAAGCACTTTGAGAAGTTTTGACAACATGATGAGATGCTATATCAAATGCAAGTAGTGCTGATATTAAGATTTAAATCGTATTTCTTATCTTATAACTAAGTTAGCTAATGTAATATTCTGAACTTAACACAAGTCTGACTAATAGCCATATTCATCAACAATTGTTTAATTGTAAAGCAAAGTATGCTGGAACATCGTCATCGTCTTTTAATATCAAATTGTGCGATGAGTAACAATAATTTTATTATTGGGCATCAGAATCATTTAGTCATATTGGTATGACTTGCTTTCTTTTAGCATATTCATATATAGTAGCTGCCCAGCTCAGATAGTAGGACTCTTACCTCTTGAGTTGGAAACTTTCGGTTCAAGCTCCATATTCGGATTCATGGTATAGGCTGAATGTATAATATAGCTATGATCATATAATATTCCCTGCACTGATATAGCACTTTGTACAGTGCTGAAGGACTGCTGCATTGTTGGAGGTCCTTTTGATGAGATGTTAGACTAAGGTCTTGTCTGCTCTTCAGGTGGATGTCAAAGATCCCATGGCACTATTTGAAATGGGAATGGAGTTTCTCCCAGGGTCCTGGCCAGATAAAATTGGTTATTCATTTTAGGCATGTATGTGGGATTGATGTGTGTAAATTAGCTGCTATTTTGCTGACAAAATAGTCAGTGCACTTTTCAGTGAATCCTGAAAGAAGCACTTTGAGACATCCTAAGATGAAGGGTGCTATATCAGTGCAAGGAATATTATGATCATAGCTATGTTATACATTTTTAAAGAAACTTGGAATTGCCTACTTTCAATCGATGGGTGCGGGTATAAAAATGTACTTTGCTGAGGTAAATACAAAAAAACAACAAATTACATTTATATAGTGCTTTTCACATTAGGAGGACGCCCCAAAGGCCCTGGACAGTGAAAGGTTTGCACCCGAGCTGGGGGTTGGAATCAAGAGGGGTGGAGGAGAGCAAGAGGGTGGGGGTGGGAAGGTGTCCGAAGGCACGGTCGAAGAGGAAGGTGTTGAGACTGGCTTTGAAGGAGGTAAATAGTAATACTTCACTGCTTACTACTTTTATTTTTAGTGTTCAAAATGCATGCAGTCTGGGCACTAAACTGGGAACTGAAGCAATCTTCAAAATGACTTGTACTGCGCTTTTTAACTGCTTGTGCATTCTACTTTCCAGGTCTTCACCGTGCAGCTGACGCTTGGTGACCAGCACTGGGAAGCCGAAGGAAGCAGCATAAAAAAAGCCCAGCATGCAGCAGCCGCGAAGGCCTTAGCAGAGACCAGTCTCCCAAAGCCGCCACCTCGTCCCCCACGTAATGATTCAAAAAATCCTGGTAAAACATTAGTATTAGTGGAACGGTCATTGAAAGAGAAGCCCCAATGATATCTGATTGTCAGACTTGGTTTTTCCAAAAGAGATAAATAAATCTACCGAGTTGTAAGTTGTGCCTCTTTGAATATAATATAAACTGGAAACATACAAGTAGAATGTAGAGGAATTCTGAGTTAATTTATTCGAATTTTAATATAAACTTTTAACTCAACTCTACTGAAATGTACCCCTTTCTACTTTAGAATAAATAAACTGAAATCTGTTCAATCTATCGTACGCTATATATAGTTCTGGACTATACAACGACATTTATTGGTAACAAACTCTATAAATGTATTTTTAGACAGTGTTACTCCTACAGTAGAGCTGAATGCTTTATGCATGAAAATGGGAAAGAAACCAACCTACAGACCAATTGACCCTTACCCTGGAATAAGAACAAACTACAATATGCTGAGAAACAACGCTTACCCTCAAAGGTATCTTAAATTATTTTACATTTTCTTTTAGGACTGTTTTATCCATTATCAGCTTGCCATAAATATAGTGCTTTGTGGAAATACTCCATATCCTATTTCCCTCAGCAATTAAGAGGGGAGGAGAAGAACAGTGGAACTGTTACCTGTTTTGTTTAGAATGGTGCCTGATTTGAAGATAACTAGTAACAGTAATGATTTGGCAGAATATAAATAAATAGTTTAAAATCTATTTGAAGAGGGTACCAGATGACTTTTTTCACACATATATATACCCTGTATTATAAAAATCATTGTAATAATAATCCTTGCATTTGATACAGCACCTCATCATGTCTTCGAGACGAGTCAAAGCGCTTCACGGAGTATACTATGAAGTGAATTGACTATATTTTGTGCATGAAACGCGGCAGCCAATTGCACACAGTAGTGTCCCGGCAACTTCATAATTGACGTACATATGAATTGAAATCTTTTAAAAATTACACGGGGATGAATTAAAAGTCCCTAAATACATATTGTTTTCAGGTATTTCTACTCATTCCCTCCCGTTGGACCGGTCACTTATCAAGTAGAGCTTGCGATTGGAAACCAGCAGTTCCAAGGAAAGGGAAGGTCTCGACAGGCTGCTAAACATGATGCTGCTGCTAAAGCGCTAAAAGCCTTGCAAAATGAAACTCTACCATGCAAGTTACCTACGGTAAGCGTATTGGCATATTTTGGATGAACTAGCTTGTCTTAAAATCTTCAAGGGAGAAAACTGACTGCAATCTGTGATCGTTTGAATTGAACATTATCGAAGAGCATTTCAGTGGGATTCGGGTGGATGGATTTCTTAGCGGAGCAAATAGCTTGAAATGGTTGTATGTTTCTGTGGTTTTGACGTAAGGGCTATGATATTCTAAAAGTGTGTCAAGACAAGTATTGAGTGTCCAATCGCAATTGAATTTTCAAATATATTTAAAAATTGCATTGTATCTCAATTTTGAATTTAGTCATTATCCCTGTATCCCCACAGGTTAATGGAAAGAACTTGATGATGATCTGAATAAATCTGAAATAAGTCAAGTATTTGAGGTAGCACTAAAAAGAAATATGCCAGTGAACTTTGAGGTAAGTTTACCTTTGAAGGGATCTTTCTGACTCTGGCTCTCTCTGCCTGAACCAGTCATATTTTGCACCTGCTTTATGTTGAATAATTCTGTTCATTTGTTTTTCTAATCCGATTGCTTTGAAAGCTTCCGGTTAATTTTTGTAGAACAGGTTTATAGGTTGAAAAAGTGAAAAATAGGTTGAAAAAGACACCAATTTTCGGTGGTTGAGTGGGTGAAGCATTCTCCTTACATACAGCAACGAAGAGTACTTTTGTTGCTATTTGCTGACATTTTTCAGCCATTGAGAAAGATATCATGAATTGAATGTCATAGTAGCAAAGATGGATTTCAAAAACAGTGCTGGTTGTCTCTGCAATCCTTGTCCACTGCAGTGGAAAGGGCTCTTCTGTTGTTAAAGATGTGACCGGAAATAAATTGTGCTGGTAACCGCTTCATTGTACTGGTAACAGCTCAGTGCTTTGGGACGTCCTCCTGACGTGAAAGGTGCTCCATAAATGTAATTTTGTTGTTGTTGTTCATTGCCGATGAAGCATAGAATGGAAATAGGACCAGTGAAGCGATGACGTGTAGGAACATTTAATTCCTCTGCTAACATTAGCAACTTAAAAAGAGGAATTGTGTAGAGTTACAAGGCAACAACGTGTATGCAGAAAGAAAGTTAGTGTGTACTGAATGCAACCGCACTTCTGGAACCTGGTTCAACAGGACGGACACCTGTGTAATTAACGAACTTGCCCTATAGTGAGGTATTTGATAGCGGAATTGCCCTGTATATTGATAAACTTTGCAGAAATGATGCACCAAAAGGATTTAACATCATTTATCAATTTGAGGGAAGATTAAATTTGAACAAAGGGCCAACAAATTTTGTGGCAGCTCCTGTAATCAGAAAAAAATAAGTTCAGAAGAGAGAGAACGCAAGTCAGTAGTGACTGATAGTGGCAATGTGTCTCTAGTTGATGTCGAGTTTACGCTTGTCGTTCCCCAGTACACTGACTCAAAGCTGATTGTTTTAGAGGATATTTTCCTTGTAGGGAAAGGAGGAGAAAGCTAATTCTAGGCAAGTTCAGTATCCTGGGCTGTGAACGTTGTATCAATTTTCTTTCCTTGTGAATTTCAGGTAATAAAAGAGACTGGCCCTCCACACATGAAGAGTTTTGTAACCAAGGTAATAGTTGGAGAATTTTCGGCCGAAGGGGAAGGGAAGAGTAAGAAAATTTCCAAGAAAGTCGCAGCAATAGCTGTTCTGGAGGAACTCAAGAAATTACCACCACTACCCACTGTAGAAAAAGTGAAACCGCGTATAAAAAAGAAAACCAAATCAATAGTAAAGGTGTGTAATCGCTTGGAGTGAAAATAACCAGTAATTTGAACCAAGACTTCACTGAATTGACGGAGCTGAACTAGGAGCAAAAAATCTTCCGACATTTAGTAGTAAAAGTGCTAATGTTATTTTCTGAGCGATTTTGGCCTAGTCTTTCGTGCTGTGTTCTGTTACTCCACAGTAGAACGTACCTATAATGGCTATCCAAATTATATGTAGTCATTATGACCTTTCAGTATGAATCAAAAAGGATCTGTCAAGGAATTTCTGTGGTACTGGCTTCAAATGTCTGTTCCAGACTTAAAAACAGAATTGCCTATTCAGTTACAACTTTTGGGTTGGGAAAGAGTTAAATCCTGATCAACATATGGAAGGTGGCATGTTGTGGATTCATTATGAGACTTCGTATGCTCATTTTTTTTAAAAAGGAACATTTTTTGGATCTTTATGAGCATATTGGTTCCTAAATGTACATGGTAAGTCCCAGCAGTAAAACTTGTTTAAATTGCTGGAAACAATTTCAAGTCACTGGACAGGTACTGCTTCAAAGCTCACCAAGGAGAGCACCAGAGGTAAGTTCTTCCATTACTGAACTTAAAATATTCTTTGCACTTCACTCATTAATTTGAGACAATTAAACGTTTTTTCCAAGGCCAACTGCTTCCAATTTAGCTGAATTTGACAGACGTTTTTATTTTTTCATGTCTGTGCTTCTCTGTGATTGAATAGTTTGTACTGACCGATCCTAATATATTTGAACATTGCTTATGTTCAGGTACTAGCCTCCTGATTAACTGAAATGTTTGCAGGATCTGAATTCTATGGCCATAAAGTTCCAGAGTATTTTAAATATTTGAATAATTTATGTAAAATCATTTTGACATGAAAAATGCTATATTCATGCTACAGCTAATCTACTGCCCATGTATTCTGTAGTTGTAACATATCTTATACTTATAACTTTGTGCGTTGAAAAATGAATGAACTACAACACGGATGTTTTGGCATATTACAAGCTACCGCCCAGTTCCCATCCTTTTTTCTTTTGTGAATCTTTATAAAACTGCGCCCGGATTAAAATTAGTCTTAATTTAAGTGGTCTATTCGGCAATCAAAATATATTCTGGTTCTAAACTGTAACATTTGCCCTGTTAATCATTAGTCTTGTCTGTTGACCATGGAAATGAAAGTGTGAAGAACCATAATGAAAGCTGGGTGTTAGTGCTTTGAGGTTATGCCATAGTCTATTCCCAACTTTAGCTCTAGTGAAGGGATGGTAAATAGATGCTCTCACATGGAGATCAATTAAAAGACCAGGTTGCTCTTATGTAATTTGTGAGCAACATTGGCAGAATTGTGTGTAAAGATTACAAGAGATTCTCTAGAAAATTGCAAGATTCAGCACTGTAATAAAAAATTAAAAAAACCTGGAAGGGGTCCTTCTGTGTTTGTTACACAAAACTATTTGGCCATAAAACAAAAAAACTGCACCAATTTAGTCATGCCTGTTGGCTTAAATTGAAAGTGCTGAAATGCTGAGCTTGCATCTTTTTATTTTTTAAGCTACAGACAAGTCCAGAGTATGGGCAAGGAATGAATCCAATCAGCCGTCTGGCTCAAATTCAGCAAGCAAAAAAAGAAAAGGAGCCTGAATATACTTTAATGGTAGAACGAGGTCTTCCTCGCCTAAGGGAATTTGTTATGAGGGTGAGAACTGTTGCATAATTTCATTGATTACCTACAAATTCTAAACTGTGCAATCCCAAATAACCTAAAATGTATTCCGTTGCCTAGGTTAAAGTTGCCAATCAGGTGTCAGAGGGAATGGGTCCAAATAAAAAGGTTGCTAAAAGAAATGCAGCTGAGAAGATGTTGGAACTTTTAGGTTATAAAGTTCCTCAGCCCCAACCGCCTAAACCAGCGTTGAAAACTGAGGAAAAGGTAAACAGGATTTTTATTTTCTCTTTCACAATCCTCATTCCTCAAATTTATAATCAGGAGTTCTTGGTTGTTTCTGGTTCTAACGTTTGAATTTCCTTTTGCTCTGAAGCCAACCATGAAAGAACCTACTAAAGGTCGAAAAGTGACCTTCTTTGAACCTGGTTCCTCTGGAGAAGACACAATAGCAGGTATGCAGAAGCATTGTTTAAGAGAAGCTGAATAATATTTGGCCCACAAAATACAGTCACTACACTTTACAGCATATTCTGTGAAGCTCTTTGAGACCTCTAAACAATGTGATAAGGTGCAATATCAAATGCAAAGATTATTATAATATGGTAGGTGAGAGCACACATAACCATTCTGCTAAATTTCTGTAGTTGCGCTATTTCACTTTTGATTTTCCTTCTAAGTGACTGGCGAGGCCACTAGTTTTCCTGGGTGAAAAGATGAGTGTAATGGAAAAATGTGACTCTCCCATCTGAAACTTCAATGTTTTCTCGATGGGTCCTGTATGTTTCTTACAAATAGAAAGGAAGCATCAGTGTCTGGTTCCTCTTATTCTCATCAATATTTATATCCTGATTTCTGCTCTTACCCATACAGGATGTCTCCTTACCATCTCCAGCTCCTACTTTTAACTGATGGGGATAGACATTGATCAAACATTCTCTTAAGATATGATGATAGTTCTCATCTTGTTTAAACGGGACAGTGATCTGTCTGAGATAGTAGCAGAGCCAAGATTGAATATTGAAGATGTGAGGTGGATAGATATTCAATTATAATTCATTTTTAAGATCTCCACTCATGACATTAATTGATTGGATGGAGTTCATGGGACGATGGATTGTATGCGATCCATGATGGAGTGGCCTAAGCTGCCTTTTCTTGGTTCGTGCTTTATAATAATAATAATAATCCTTGCATTTTATAAAGCGCCTTATTACATCGTTGAGATGTTTCGAAGCGCTTCACAGAGTATACTGTAAAGTGGAGTGACTATATTTTCGTGAAAAATATATGCTCTAAATGGGTTGCACAAGCTTTCAAAATGTAAAAATAAGTTTGTGTACACGTCAGGATTCTATGTGGTACGGTAGTTTATTTTTAAGATTCATTGTACATGTAAGCAGTTGTAATTTACCTTTTTTGTTTCAGGTAATAAAGATGGGAACATCCGTCTAGAAGATGAATTCCGGATGCCTTATTCCAGCCACCAGCAGCTGCCGGCTGGAATTCTCCCCATGGTTCCCGAGGTGGCCCAGGCTGTTGGAGCTATTCACGGGCATCATACCAAAGATTTCAACCGGCCGGCTGCAAACCCAGCAATGGCCACAGTTACTGCTCTGATTGCAAGAGAACTGCTATATGGTGGCACCTCCCCAACAGCTGAAGCTATTTTGAAGATTAACCCTACAGCACGGAAACCACATCTGCTACACAGCACTCTTACCAGGCCTTCTGAACAGCTGGATTTCCTGGCTAGTGTTCAGGAATTACAGGTAAGATGGCTTTTTTTTTAGAAAAAGGTTAAGTTGGAGAAACGACAGAGTTTATTCAATAGAAATGGCTTTGGAAAACCCATTTTTTTAAAAAAATTACACCAAAACTCACATGAGTCTCAACTTTATAAATCAAATAATCGCTTAAGGAGTATAACAACAACAGCTTGTGTTTATATAGTGCCCTTCACACGGGGTAGCGTCCTGGAGCGCTTGAACCCACGCACGTGAATCGCTATCAAAACCGCTTGGTTGATAGGGAAGCGAGGTTATGAATTAGCAGATCATTAATATGACCAGTGCAAAGAAATCAAAGTGGTTTTGATACTCTCGCACTTACCGGCTGCATTGAATTGCGGAAAATGATGTCCTGACACGTGAATGCGTGCGCGCGTATCAGCTGGCCACATTCATGTTTTGTAGTTCTTTTAATTTAGCCTTTTCAGACCAAACAGACGTGAAACCCGCATAGTCTATGTTGACACTCCAATGCAGTGCTGAGGGCGTGCTGCATTGTCAGAGATGCCGTCCTTGAGAAGAGACATTAAACTGACATCCCATCTGCCTGTTAAAATCCCATGACACTATTTGAAAAGACAAGTGAGTTTCTCCTTGTGACGTGGCCAACAAGCCCCAACTAAAATTGGTCTCTCACTTCACGACTGCGTGCAGGACACTGCTGTGTGCAAATTGGCTGCAATGTTTGTCCACACAAAATACAGTCATACCACTTTACGGGATATCCTATGAAGTATTTTGAGATGTCAAATGCAAGAATTATTATTGCCCCATGTTATGACTTTGATAAATTAGCGTAGGTGTTTTATTAGCACTTTATCTTTCTTGAGCCACATGAATCTTATTTCACTGTCTATTTTGCCAAATTTTTAATGATTTGAATATGATTTTTAATTTTCAGGTTGAATATAAAGACTTTCCAAAAAACAATAAAAATGAGTTTGTATCACTGATAGACTGTACTTCTCAACCTCCCCTGATGAGCCACGGGATTGGAAAAGATGTGGAATCCTGTCATGATATGGTATGATTGTTCCTTATGGTGTCATAGTATCTTTTAGAAATTGCTGAATATTGCTCTATAATTTTAGTTGATAAAAGTTGAGCCTGGATCTGAGACAAATGAGAAGTTGTTTTGATTCCACCACTAAGTGTCTTCTTCCTTCTAGGCTGCACTAAATATCTTAAAATTGTTGTCTGAACTGGACCAACACAATGTAGAAATATCAAGAACAGGAAATGGACCAATTGCTGTGTAAGTATGTATTATCGATTTCTCATTAAGCTTCTAATTTGAAGGGAACTGTATGACGAGGTGAATTAGAAGATCTTTAGTTGGCTATGAATTCTGCCCAGAGTGATGAAGGGCTGATGGAGGCGAGGCAAGGGATGAGGCGAAGGGACTGTGGGAGGGAGTTCCACGGAGGGGCGGCTAAAAGCCTGACTGCCAAAGGTGTGGTGTGCAGGATAAGTGACGCAGGCAGTGCCTGCTGAGCGGAGGGAGCAAGCTGGGTTGGTATTGTTTCAGAAGATGGCAGAGGTAGGGTGAGTCACAACCATGGAGGGATTTGAAAGCGGTGGCCGAGAATCTTGAACTCAATCCTCTTGAGGATTGGGGATCCAACTGATCTGAGCAAGGATGTGGGTGATAGACTCACAGAAAAAAAAGCTCTTCAGAAAGCTCCGATACTTGTTACAAACAAATAAGGCCTTTGTTGCAATAGCTCAGCCTTTCTCGTACAGTATCGCTTTGATATCTATTCCACATATGAAATATTTCCAGGTTATTCTTTTAAGTACTTGAATCATCGGTCAGGATCAGGACGCCTTGTGAAACCCGTAGATGTGATCTGCTGAAATCAAAATGCAATATCACGTTTTGTGGCAGGAATCTCTCTTGCAAAAGCGGTTTATAAATATTCACGGGTTCTCGTTCTTTTTAGATGTGTTAAACAAGAAATTGACGGCGACTCTCTCATCAAACCGGCTAACTCAAACACTTTAGGACAAACCCTGGATGTCACTGACTGAAAGCCTTTTATTGATCCCAAAGCTCCAAGCACCAGAAAAATCGGATGCTTCCTGTTCTGTGACATTGTAACTTCTGTTTTAGACACTTACAGTTTGAATCTTGCTGTAGTATCTAAATCATTAAGTTGCTTACCTTTTTAAAATAGTGACGCATTTCAACATTAATTCAATTTTTTTGATGAAGGAAATTGTTCATAATTTTTTCATTGGAACCTTGTTCACACCCAACCTCCGACAGCAAAAAATTTGAATTTCTTTTGATGCCTCTCCAATAGTACATCACATGATGATTTGAAAGATTGCTAATGTTTTTGATCACTTAACAAAAACCGGGTCATATCCAGCATATGTAGTTCATGATTTGGTTTCTGTTTGAATTGGCCATTAGGAATATAAACTGGTTTGGTTTGCAAACCTGATGTTAGTGATTATTTAAAATGGAGTGTGCCTCTATTTTCATAACTCTATTGTATATCTCAAGATGAATTTAGACTAAAAAATTTAGTCAAGTTGAGTAAGTTGTAAAGACTACCTGTTTTTTTTTTCCCCCTCCCTCTTTGGAAGAAAGTATCAAGTAAAATGTTGAGTCTTCTAGATCGTTTCTTTCTTAATCTAAAAGTTTTTTTTATAAACTTGGTAATTCTAAAGGAATAGGTTTTGTTTTTATATGAAACTTGTTTTTAATTTTCAAAGGTGCACAAGAATTACATGGTTGGATATGATCTGTTACTTAGCTTCTACCAGAAACTGCAGATTACTATACATTTCGGTGTAGGGTAAAATGTAAGATGTTGTGTTGTACTTAATGCTTTGATGTAATGTTCCATGTGATGTACACAAAGTGTGTACAGTAAACTTTTTTGCCTATGGTCCAAGTAAAGCACGAAACCCTTGCCAACTTGCATACTACGTCAACAAATTGTTACTTTACTTTTGGACTTTTTCTCCCCATGTATTGTACCTATGGAATGGAGAAGTAAAAATTGGTGTTTGTGCAAAAGTACTGGTGGCTTTTTTAGCATAACATTTTATTAACATGAGGCAGAATTAAAGAAGTTGACAGTAAAGACAAAAATGCTGATTTTTTTTGTTTCAGTCAGAACTGCTAATGTGCAAAAAAAAAAGAAAGACTGTTGGTGCTGATCTTTGCTTTCATTTGTGGTATTTTTTCAATTAGGTCTCCAAACAGCTATGCTATTTCCATGTGCATTTAGTACAGCATTAAATTTTAGAAGTTGATGTTAAAGTTCCTGAAAATGCTAAACGTTACAGTAATATTTTAGCTTAAAAAGCCATGGTCCAAATGAAAAGCATATAACTCCTTTAAGTGGTGCTGTAATTCTCCGTTGTGCAAGGTATAATTAACCTTGTGTGAATGTATATAATATATATATAAAGTTTATATTACAGTAATAGTCTGAGAAATGTATGCCATTTGATAGTCACATTTGGACAACTTTGGATCACCAGCAAGGGGTTCAGGATTTTAAAGTGAAGCAAACCTTAAAGTTCCGAAAGGTAATTAATATACAGATCTTTAATGAATTTAATTTTTTTCAGTACATTTCAGCATTTCAAAACTTGCTGTTACACCACTGTTTGATTCAGATGTTAGTGCAACTCAACTGTTCAGTTGTCAAACAGTTTGAATTTTTAAACGTGCCTGAAAAGGCTGCAAGACCCCAATTTTTTTCAACTTTTATTAATCATTATCAAAAAAAGTTAACAGAAGTTAGTTATTGAATTTCTTCACCTATGGGATACATAGTGTGATTATAGCAGGATGATGTGTACCCAGAACATAGCATTAATTTAGTTGAGTAGAATTTCCAATTCAGTATCTGATTTTGAGTTTCACTGTTTACTGGAGCCTATTTTGATCAATGTTTTTTGTATTTCAACAAACCGGAGAAGCACACCTTTTCCATTAACTCAGCTTTAATGGACACAGCTTGAACCTATGCCAAGGAAGCATTAGCTGAGGTGTAATTGGGTATTTGTCTTGAAGACGTAATAAGGCGCCATATGAAATTAACAAGTAAGGATTATTATTATTAAGAGGGGTTAGTGTGAAATGTCTGGTAATGTAAGCAACTTCTATTTGAATCTTAGTGAGAGAAGTTGCTTTTCTGAATGTACTTGACTTGAAACTTACATAAACCCGTTAAAGCCTACTTAAAAACCATTATTGTGATTAGATGTCCTGTGGTAATTCAGAAGTTATCATTCGGGATCTTTCAAATGAAACGCTTGTGTGCTTGAATGTTGTAAATACTGTAGGCTTGCGTTTCACTCCACTGGTCATAGGATATAGCTACTAAGTTGTGCAGCTAAAATTCCTCATCCATATTTCTGATGCAGCTGAATCTTGGGATGAAATTGTTTTGGTGTTATTGTCAGGCAAAGTCTTGCCATAATCTTTTAAAAGATCAGGTTGCATACACTCTTGCTATGGTAGGTTCATGGATATTGATAACCCACGAGAAGATTTAAGGTCTTGAATATCTATATGAGCTTTGAGGTAGTAATGGCTTGTTGATGCCGGTTGTGAACCTGGAAACTCTTCTGTCCTTTGAACCCTCAAATGCTGATCACAACAGTTGATTTCAGTCATGCAAAAGAATCTCCCTAGATTTATATTCTGCAGTAATCAGTCTGACTGACATCTTTCTACATATTAGCTTCCCCTTTTTGGCAACACTTGTACCCAGTCTTATTCCGGATTTTAATGTGCCATTTTTAACACTGCTATCTCCTTTCACACTGTTAAATTCTTCCCATTTGAGCATTGAACAGTTTCTGTCAATGATCTGCCCATATTAATGTATTTCCACGACATATGTATAGAATATTGCCTGGTCCTCCCGAATCTGGGGAATCCTGCATACTTGCAAGAAATTGCCAGGCATCCTGATTTTGCTATCAAAATGGCATATATTATGAACTACAGAAGTCCAAACACCTAATGTTGTACGAGAAAATTTTAAAAGTTTATTTTTTAAAAGAAATTGAAGCAGCTTGTTCAACTTCCTATATCAAAACTAGCTTCTGCAAATGGTCATCATGTTTTTAAAGCTTTATATTCTATAAGAATTCCAAGTTGATTTGGGCCATTGTCTCTTGCTTTGGTCTTTTTAAATGCATTTTAAGGGATTTATGTCAAGCCTAATAAATTAAACATTTCCTGGAGCTGTTTGACATCCTACAATGGAACATTAATCTTCAAATTTTAAGTTGATTAGGTTTTCCTTCCCCAGGCACCTAACCGAACTGCAATCTATTCATCAGCTTCCCCGGTTAACATGATAACTTACTGTTTTGCTGTGATAGTTTTACCCTTAAAGTACCTAATAAAATGCTTATTTCAGAACGTAGCAGGTGGTTGCCTCCTAATATCAATCCCCCCTGTGTCTTCTGGCACATGTTCCACTTTCTATTTGATTCTGATTTAACATCTAGTTCAGTATATACTGCCTGGTGAGAATATCATTTGGCAATAAACAGCATTTAAGACCATAATGTGAGTTTCCCTGCAAGGGTGCTCTGGGATCAGCAAGATTGGTTAGACAGAAGGATACATTCAGTAAGAATTGCGGTGGTGTTAATCAGACAGGTTTTATTCATCCCTTGAATGTTTAATGGGTTTAAACTAGTTATTTCAAGTTGTGCTTTTTTTTGCTCTTCCTCTGCCAGAAAATTGGCTCCCGATCAGTTACGAAAACAGCAGCATATTTATTTGCCCAAGTTTCCATTATTCAATAAATACAATCCTTAAAACATTTATATTTTCATGTCCTTTATTAGGAAGTTAGCATTCAGTTACTTAAGATTTAACAACCAAACGTAACATTTACAGTAGAGAATTGCTCCAAGTGACAATCTTCTCAATGGACGCATTGACCAAATTTTATTGAATACATTATCACTGTTTCATGTTAAAATTAAATTGTAATGTTTAACAATGGGAACATACCTATTAGTACAGAGTATAATATTCGAAGGAACTTACATGGAAATTGAGCCAAGGAACATTAATATTTAAGTCTTTTCTGATTCTGTTCCACGTCATTTCTTTTTGCTTCCAATAGCTTGGTTATTCCGATTCACAAATGAATGCATGCACTTGTCCATACCAAGAAATCTGTACATTTCTACAATTGCGCCCCATGGTAGAAAGCTGAAAAAAAGCTAGTTTTGTTAATAGCTGATCAATGATTCTTTTATGTGCTGGTACAAGATAACCACTGGGATTAATTTGAACAAGTTTCGATAGTTATAGGCATGCACTATCTCAAGCGATGAATACTATTGATTTAAACTAATTGTTTAGTTATTCTAATGTGCCTTATGAAGCAAATCATACCCTCTAAAATTGGTTTAATGTGTATAGATCTGGTAGCTTGTATAGCTAGTGGTAGTTTTCAAACAGGATACTTACGTTTTTGAGAATGCTGCAAAGTACATGAGCCTTGGAATACATATCATTTGCTGATTTATAAGAATTGCTTTCATGGCTTCCCTCACACAGTACTCTGGCTTTAAAGGTGGAACAAGGAATTGAAATTCCTTCCTGTTTTAAAACATTGAGATCAGTTTATGCCCAAAACAATTCAGCAATTGTACAAATATTGCATGCTTCATACATTGACAAATTAAGACACTCCTTGTTCTAGAGATGCAGATTGACAAAATTCTGGTCACTTCTGAATGACCGTTTATGGCAGTTCCTTCCAAATTTATTCAGGATAATCACCCAAGAGTGTTATATTAAAAAAAATCTTTTATGCTTAATTGTATTGCTGACTGCAACTCTAAAGTTTGAATAAATATTGCAAATTAAAAAGTACTCATTCATTTAAAAAACTTTACCGGATTTGGCATCCGTGGAACATGCCGGTATCTACCAGATAAGGGCAAATCAGGGTTGTCTTTATTCCATCCATGTTCCATCCTTTCAGTTCATGGGATAATGATTCATGATATCCTACCAATGCAAACTTACTGGCACAGTAATCCTGAAAATGAAAATGAATGTTTTTTTTGTTGAAAAAATCTACTTTGTGCTCCTTTGATTCATACAAAAAAAAGTGAATATTTCGGAGACCAACTCTAGTGAAAAGGGCATTTCAAAGAACAAAGGCAAAGTATATATTATATATTTATTGACTCCTGTCACCCAAAACTCTGATACATCAAGAGAACAAAAAGTGTGCTGACCTGAACATACGCCGTACTGAACAGCCCCAGAAAACTTGCGACAGACACAATATGCCCATGATTCATCTCAATCATCTTTGGAAGAAATGCTTTAGCTGTCTATTTAATAAATAGGAAAAAAAATACAACATGCAATACATTAATAAAGCAACGGTTACATTTTACACCACCTAGATTCAGTTTCTTTGTTCAATGCATTACTTTCAGTATGTAGACAAACAGAATAAGATTACATTCTTATAGTGTATAAACAGTAAAGAAATTAATTGTGGACTAAATCTTACTACGTGTAGGTTGCTTTGATTATTTTCGAAAGGATTATGTAAACTCTTGCATATCTTATTAAACTCTTACATATTCAGAAATTAATCAGAATTATATCAAACATTCTGCATGCACTATAATGAGGGCTTTCTGCATGTAGTATTTAGTTCACACTAATGAGGGATCTTGAAGTAATTTGTGTAACAGTGAAGAATAGAAAATTAAAATTCTGAGTAGATAAGAGGATTGGTATCAACCAATCTCCTTACAAATAACACAAAATCACATGGCAGGTCATGGGTCCTTGGTATTTCCTCAAACTTTGATTGTCAAAAAAAACTTTAATTAGTTAGAAATAATGGATTTTCCCCCGAATAACTGCATGGGATGTATTCCAAAGTTATATTTTAACAAATAGTATGAACATTAAAACCACACCCTTTTGCAATATGAGGTGTTGTCAGTCAACGAGATGTTTAATTCTGAAATAAAGGTTAAAGAGTTCCTTTAAAGGAGAAAGTCCCATTACATAAATTCCTATTGCACTTTAGAATGCCTTGATATACATATACATATCCACACACATTTGTTTTGATCCTTACTGGGTCATGATTATTTGCAGCAACTTTGCAGATCAATTCATGGTGACCAACCCCTGGACTTACCCAGAAATGTGCATGACAATTGACCAGCATCGTCCTTTCTAGTAGAGCATCTGGACACTCCAGCAAAGGTCTCCCGGACGCTACCCCAGCGTTATTAACCAGGATTGTCACATCTCCCACTTCTTTCTTGACCAGCTCCGCTGTTTTATAGATACTATCCCGTTTGCTCAGATCACAGGTGTAAGTATAAGCCTTTGCTCCCAGCTTTCTCACAGACTTCGCCGTAGCTTCATTGCCTTCGGTCTTAATATCCCACAACACCAGGATTGCCTTCTGTTTTGCAAACTCTAGTGCCAGAAGTCGTCCGAGACCACTACCAGCTCCAGTTATTAAACAAATTTCTCCAGCAATTATTTTTTCGTGTGGCCTAACCATAAGACGTAGAAAGGATATGAAATGCTCCCAGATAATAATACCAAGAAGAAAGAAAACATCAATTACAATCATTGCCAATCAATTTGTTATTTTCAACACAGCCAGTTAGCTAATAAGATAGTTTAGGCTGAACTCCAGTTGTAAAAAGAATTGCATGCAAGGGGAGTATATATAGGGAATGTGTATAAAATTGCATGAAGATGTTATACAATTTGCCAATGAGAAAGCAGAATGAATTTACACCAATCAAATCATAATGCTGTTTATAAAACAGCTAACTCAAGTCGACAAAAAATAAGGCTTCTCAAAGTAATCTGCTGCAAAAAAAAACCTTTAGTTCACAACACGAGCCAAAACAATTTAAATAAAAGTTGCATAATGTAGTAACCTTACATTGATCCGATTTAATGAACAAACTGATTATATTTTAAGTGCAATATTGACCAGAACTGGGACTCTGATTTCTCCTTAATTTGCTAATTAATGTGTAATTTCCAGATTCTTGTGACCAACATTCACTACTCCACAACAGTCAAGTGATGCTAGAGCCTTGACCAGCTCTTTATTGGAAGTCTAAGTTATGTTCTCTTATGTTAGAAAACATAACCGATATTAAATACTGTATTGCTATCTTAGTTGTGCTGAAAAAATGTGATTGCTGCACTGATCACTGTGTGGGTTTTATATTACTTTACAACTAACTAACTAAACAAAGCTCTCTGCCAATAGCTGTGAGATGGAATACGAACATTTAATAATAAATAATAATAATCCTTGCATTTGATATAACGCCTTATCACGTCTTCGAGATGCCTCAAAGCGCTTTGCAGGATATACTGTAAAGCGAATTGACTGTGTATTTTCACTCCCTGGCTCCTCCCTACCTCTCGACCTCCTCACTTCCCTATCCATCACCCGGAGCCTCTGCTGGACTGGCACCGGCTCCTGCTCATCCCTCGCACCCTCCGCCCCAACATCAGAGGTTGTGCTTTCAGCCGCTACGCCCCAAACTCTGGAACACTCTCCCTCAATCCCTCCGCCTCGTCCCCTCTCTTCCCCTCTTTCAAGTCCCCGCCTGCCTGAAAACTTTCCTCTTCAACCATGCTTATGGCTACCTTGCCCGGCCACCACCGGCTCGGAGTCAGGCTCCGCCATTGTTAAGTGCTCTGAGCCGCTACCCTGCGTGGAGGGTGCTATATAAGTACAAGTTGTTGTTATTGTAAAGTGAATTGACTGTATATTTTATAATTCTCCCCTTTTTATGCATTATACAGCACCATATATTATTATACATTATTATAATTATTATTACATTATTACTATTTATTATTATTATACACTATTATACACATTATTATTATATATTATTGCTAGTATATATTATTATTATACATTATTTTGCAAGTGAGACACCTTGGTTCAATTCCAGTCAGTGCGAAACCTTGGGCAAGTTTTCCTGACTCCACACACCTAATAATAATCCCTCCAAAACAATAATAAATTGGTCATTTTCAATCCACGACTGTTTGTGAGACGCTGCTGTGCGCAATTGGCCGCCGCGTTTCGCCCACAAATATACGGTCAATTCGCTTTACAGCATCGACCATCCACCATCGGTGGCCGGGCTTCCAGCCTCTCTGCCCCCACACTCTGGAACTCCATCCCACGGTCCCTTGGCCTCGCTTCCTCCCTCGCCTCCTTCAAGGCCGGTCTCAAGACCCTTCTCTTCGACCGCGCCTTTGGTCTCTCTCCCACCTCTTGCCTTCCCTCACCCCTACCCCACCCCCCCCAACCCCCCCCCCACACCCAATGCTCGGGCCCCAACACCTGACTATCCGGCACTTTGGGACGTCCTCCCGACGTGAAAGGCGCTCTGTACATGTCATTGTGTTGTTGTTGTGGTTGTATTCCGTGAAGCGCTTTGGGACGTCGAAAAGACGTGAAAAGCGCTATATCCAATGCGAGAATTATTATTATTATTATTATTATAATTGTTATACATTATCATTACACAATTATTATATATAACAACAACTTGTGTTTGTATCGCGCCCTCCACCCCGGACGGCAGCTCAGAGCATCTCAGTATCGGATCCCGGGATATGATATAATATATGTTTATATTATAATATATGTTATATTATTATTGTACATCATTATTGGACATGATGGTGCTGTACAATGTAGCCACTGTCAACCCCTGTCTGTCTGTCTGTCAGGAGGGAGGGGCGGGGCGAGGCGGGTGCCCACGTGATCCTCCAGGGGTCACATTACTCTGATTGGCGGAGCGGGTGGGGGCGGGGATTGCACTCTGATTGGTGGAGCGGGTGGGAGGAGGCGGGGATTGTACTCTGATTGGCGGAGCGGGTGGGAGGAGGCGGGGATTGTACTCTGATTGACGGAGCGGGTGGGAGGAGGCGGGGATTGTACTCTGATTGACGGAGCGGGTGGGGAGGGGGGCGTGGATTGCACTCTGATTGGTGGAGCGGGTGGGAGGAGGCGGGGATTGTACTCTGATTGGTGGAGCGGGTGGGGCGGGGGCGGGCGAAAATTACACTCTGATTGGCGGAGCGGGTGGGGAGGTGGGGCGGAGATCGCACTCTGATTGGCGGAGAGGCGCCTGGCCGGGCGCTATAAAAGCCGCCGCTCGGCGCGGGTTCGGTCTTTCGGTGCCGACGACGGGGAAAGGAGGTGAGTGTCCGGTGTGTCTCGGGGGTGGAGACGGGCGGTGGGGGGAAGGGTTAGGCCGCCCGGCGGGAAGCGGAGCCCCAACAGCCCCGACCTCCTCGCCCGGGATCTTCCCGCCGCGGCCTCTCTGGGCTCAGCTCCTGTTGGGGAGTCCCCGAGTGTTGGCCCCGCCTTCTCCTCTACGCCGAGGCCGAGGCTTGGGTTTGGTCACGGGCCTGACCAGGCCGCAGGCGGGAGAACTTGCAGGCCCGGCCCTGGGGCCACGTGCTCAGCCCCACGTTGTGCTGGTGATGTCCCCCTCCCACCCCCCCCTCTCCTCCCCCCTCTCTCCTCCCCCCTCGTCACAAGTTTATAATGATAATAATCCTCGCATTTGATATAGCGCTTTTCACGTCGGGAGGACGTCCCAAAGCGCTTCGCAGAACACACTGTAAAGTGAATTGACTGTATATTTGTGGGCGAACGCGGCAGCCAATTGCGCACAGCAATGTCCCACAAACAGTCGTAGATTGAAAATGACCAATTTATTATTGTTTTTGGTTTTGGAGGGATTATTATTAGGCTCTGTGTGGAGTAAGGAAACTTGCCCAAGGTTTCGCCCTCTGCCTGGAATTGAACTCAGGTCTCTCACTTGCAAAGCGAGTGCTCTAACCACTGAGCTACAGGACTCCACAAGAAAAGAGGAGGAGGTGGGAGTGGAGGTTCAGCTCATGTTGGGGTATCAACCCCCCCCCCCCGCCCCCGTGGACTAGTTTTGACCAGTTGGCCTTTTCTGTTAAAGGGTTAATTTTTCTCCCCCCCCCCCCCCCCCTTTGTGTCGGTTGTTTAGTAGGAGCTCATTTCGCTCCAAACCCCCCCCACCCCCTCGTTTTCTTTGTTAACTTATTCCCCGCGTCCATAGGCCGCGGCCACCGTTGCCAGGTCACGGGGTACCGTTTCGTGAGAAGCGAGGTTCGCAGGCTCTGGGTCTCGGGCTTCGGTTGACCATCAATGTCTCCTTTTTCCACACCCCCCCCCCCAGGTTAAGCGATCCGCTCCCGGTGCCTTGAGATGGCTGCAAGTTTTCGCGTGCAGGTACGTTCTCTGATTCCGACCGACCGACGAGCTCTCGGGTCTGATTCTAGTGGGTGTTGTTGAACGTTTCTCTCCCCCCCCCCCCCGTCATATCGATCGTGGTGAATAGGATCGTGTTACAGCCAAAATATTCTGACGCTATAGAGTTTTCTGGTTATTGGGAAAATTCCTTGATTTTTCACGACTTGACCAGGTGGGAATTTTCTTTCCTTCAGGTCGATGGGGCAGTACGCATTTTCACCTGGAGTGAAGGAGACCCCGAAAGCCAAGGTCTTGAGGTATGTGTGATTTGTTTTGTCCAGTCTGGATCCTCCTGGATATCCCAGCCATCTTTGTTGTTCTCATTCACCTCCAAAGGTGATCTCGTCTGCCTGTGGAGCTGGATAGTAAAGATTCCATTGTTCGAAGAGAAGGGAATTTGTCCACATGTCTCAGCTAACAGTCTCTCCAAAAAAATGATTTGCTGTATGGTTGGTTGTGGGACAACAAGGGCACAAGTTGGCTGCCATCTTAGCTTAAAACCTACAATGAAATCCTGTGAAGGGCTTGGAGATGATGACCTAATGTAAAATGTGCTGCATCAATTGCAGGATTTTTATGATCTCAGCTTTTCAGAAGCAGTACATGAGCATTGTACAGTTATACATTGTACAATTCTGGCTCTGCCAGAATGGCTACTTGGGCCTCTGTGGCTATTTGGGAGACCTTTGTGTTGCTTTAAGACTCAAAACTCAAACTGTATTTAACCAGCATTGTTCAGATTTTAGAATTTGGATGACAGATTGTAAAGAAATATTAAAGCTGCATTCCATTAATTTAAATCTCGCTTTCCTTTTATTTTAGCTAATAATATGAACCAGTGTGTAGAATAGAACCATAGAAACGTACAGCACAGAAGAAGGCCATTTGACCACCAGTGCTGATGCTATGGGTGGAACAGGTATGTTGTTGGATTTGTTTCTGGAAACTTGTAGTTCTAGTGAATGATGTTGAACTTTTTTCCCCGTCATATCGATCATGATGACTAAAAGAAATTGAAGCCAAATTCTTCTGACACTAGAACCAATTTGATGTTTGGAAATTTGTTTTTACATTACATATTGTCTAAACATTTTTACATTTAGCATATTGTTTTTCCCCAGGTTAGATGATCCCTGTGTCCAACATGCCCGCAAGCTTTCGTTAACAGGTATGTTTGCTCATTCTGATTATGGAAATCTTGGTCTGATTCTAGTAAATGATGCTGAACTTTTTTCCCCGTCATATCGATCATGGTGAATAGCAAAATATTAAAGCCAAAATATTCTGACACTAGAGCTTTCTGATTTTGGGAAATTTCCTTGATTTTTCACTACTTAACAAGGAATTTGTTTTTCTTAAGGTGATTGGGGCAGTACATGTTTTCACCTGGAGTGAGAGTGATGCCATACACTAGGATCTTGAGGTATGTGTTCACCTGAATCATTTAAAATTGTAAAAATTTTAATTCTATTGAGTGATGTTGAACTTTTTTCCCCGTCATATCGATCATGGTGACTAGAGAAATTGAAGCCAAATTCTTCTGACACTAGAACCAATTTGATGTTTGGAATTTATTTTTACATTACATATTATCTAAACATTTTTACATTTAGCATATTGTTTTTCCCCAGGTTAGATGATCCCAGTGTCCAACATGCCCGCAAGCTTTCGTTAACAGGTATGTTTGCTCATTCTGATTATGGAAATCTTGGTCTGATTCTAGTAAATGATGTTGAACTTTTTTCCCCGTCATATCGATCATGGTGAATAGCAAAATATTAAAGCCAAAATATTCTGACACTAGAGCTTTCTGATTTTGGGAAATTTCCTTGATTTTTCACTACTTAACAAGGAATTTGTTTTTCTTAAGGTGAATGGGGCAGTACATGTTTTCACCTGGAGTGAGAGTGATGCCATACACTAGGATCTTGAGGTATGTGTTCACCTGAATCATTTAAAATTGTAAAAAAATTAATTCTACTGAGTGATGTTGAACTTTTTTCCCCGTCATATCGATCATGGTGACTAGAGAAATTGAAGCCAAATTCTTCTGACACTAGACAGTGATGTTTTGAAAATTTTTTATATTACATGCCATTTAGCATTTTTACTTAGACATTATTTTTCCGCAGGCTAAACAATCCCAGTGTCTAAAGTGGCCCCCAACTTTTCGTGAGCAGGTATGTTTTTTTGTTAATTCTGACTGTAGAAACCTCGGTCTGATTCTAGTGAATGATGTTGAACTTTTTTCCCCGTCATATCGATCATGGTGACTAAAGAAATTTAAGCCAAATTATTCTGATGCTAGAGCCAGTTTGATGTTTTGAAATCTCAAGTTTTTACATGTCTAAAAACCTGTAATGTTTCTCCTCTCCAGGTCAGCAACCATTTGTAATCAACGTGAAAATGCCAGAAACAAACATTTCAGGTTTGTATTTTCAGTACCATTATAAATTTCTCATCGTGACCCTGTATTGGTCATTGTAATGTTTTTTGAATGGATGCCTTCAGCATCTGTGCCTCACCCATGAACTCAGCCCCCCCACCACCGCCCCCAACTGTTTTAAAATCTGAGCCTGAATAAAATTCATTCAGTCTGAACACTAGTCAGGTTTTTTTTAATATGATTTCTTTTCTTTCATATTGGTCTTGGCATTTGAAGGAGCAGGGCAGGGTGCGAGTTTCACGTCAGTCGTTCTGCAGTGATGACTTCAAAAACGTGGATTGTTATTATTATACGTGTTTAATGTGAACTGCTTGTACTTGTATAATAAACATTTATCTCATACAGCAGTTTTGTATCGAGCATTTTCAATTAAATAGCTTCAGAAATTGTACATGCATTACAGTTCCCTTTAATTACCTCGTGCTGTATAGCTACAGTGATGTTGGTGGTGGACAAGACCTTATCCAAGAGACAGTGTAGCTATTCTGTGTTAGGGCAGGTGGGTGTGAATCATCACACAGCAGGAATAATACAAGAATTAACTTTCGCTGCTGTACATGAAGCTATTTCTTTATATAGGTCTTTATAAAGTAATCACTCATCTCTGGTCCTTCCACCGTATTTCTGCAGAGCAGTAGAATTCAGCAGTGATTTGTCGATAAGCCAGGAGGGTTTGCAGTAACAATTTGTGTTGACCGCTCAGTTACTTTAAAATGGGATCTGGGATATTCCTGTATGGAAGGAAAATGTGCAGCAGGGGGTGCTCTTTGAACACTTTCTTACAGAAGTGCTGTTTCCTGGCAGCTTCTAAGTATAATCAGTTGTGATTTTATTGTTGCTAAGGCAGCTTTCACTTGAGCTGGAATTTCTAAAGCAAAGGCTTTCTTGCCAATTCATCTGGTGTGATGCCCACAGCAGGTGGTACAAGATAATTGCACGCTTCCATGATTGTCGCGCTTGCCATCAACCAGGTGGGAAATTAAAACGACGAGTGCATGCAATGAAATGGGAGCGTATCCCAGGGTTTTCCAACCACACCTAGAAGCGGTTCATAAGCAAAGCACCTCCGTACCTCTCCAACTTCCTGATCCATCCGAGGTCGCGCTATACTCTGGAACACTCCCTCAATCCCTCCACCTTTACCCCTCCCCTGCATGGAGGGTTCATAGAAGTACAAGTTGGTGTGTAAACAGTGACCGCTATAAACCCACTAAACAATGGAGTTCCTGGCCCCTGATCCCTCTCGTCTGTTTATCTGTTGTCACTGTTGGGCCACCCAGTTTTTAAGTTAATAAAAATGTTTCGCAACCATCTATATGTTTCGTTTTTATCAATAAAGTGAAAACATTTAAGTTGGCTGTCAAATGGACCTCAACAGCATCAACCAAATGGCACTTTTCCACAGAACAGTCAAATGTCCCTGCACTTTTGGCAAATATTTCCTGACTTTTCTATTGGCCCGTGCCCAAGCTTTTAAGGGAAAGCTGTCGCACAGCCTTGTGTTTCTCAGCCTACCTACTCACTTGTAATTAGATGCTTTTACAAACACACAAATGGTTCTTCAAAGCAGCATTCAGAAGGCAAGATGTCGCCGTCAATTCAAAGTGACATTTATAGCCTCCACAAAACCTTTTGTCTTTGCTGAATTCCGATCTTTTTAAATATTTATCAACTGCAGAGCACAAATGAGGTCCAGAGGACAAAACAAGGTTGTCTCGTTTGTTTTAACTTTATGATCAGAAGGAAAAACACACGGCCATTCTATTTACCACCTGCTAGGTTTTGGGAATGAATGAATAGCTTTTTACTCAGATGATGATCCACTATATTTTGTATCTGCTGACAGGATTCAGTTTGAGCGGATTCTTTTGAAATGGGAAAGGTTCTGATAGCTAAAGAGCACTCTCGCACAGGCCATTTAGCTGCCATGAATGTAAGTGCTCCATGAATTTTACAATTTCCCTAAAATTAACAGAATTTCCAAGCAAAGAATGCTCAAAAATCGGGAGTGACAGTAATAGTCCCACTTGGGGCACAGCTGAAATGCTCTCACTTAGCCTTTGCTGTCATGTCTCAAAAATAAACGCACATGATCACAGAGATTTTCACTAGTTATAATGGCATATAACATGTCACCTTTCTGTGAAGCATTCTAATTGCTAAATGGGTTTCCGCTTCACGAGGATCATTTGCGAAGAATTGTATTCCTCTTAAGTGCCATGCAGAAATTCTGCAGGATTGTTGTACCTCCCTGCCTTCGGTTCTCATTTCCAATGTGTGATGAGCTGTCTTCTGATGCGTAACTTACTATCTGGTTTTGTTTGTGATCCTGGATCGGGTAATCAAAATGCTTCTGTGGGCAGCTCTCGGGAGTGCTTCATATGTTGAGTCGATCTGAATTTAATATTGAATTAACAAGCTACAGGCGTGGTATGTCGCAATCCAATATTATCAAAATAAAATATAAATAAGCACAGCTGGCTTTACAAAGCCTTGAATGGATTGCCGCCTTGTAATGAGTTGAAAGGGAGTTTGCTATCACCAGCTCTACACGTCAAAGGCAACTTGCCACACTTGAAGGTGATTTTACACGCCCCCCCCCCCACCCCATACAGGCAACGAAGTTTCAAGTGAATAATGATTATGGTGCCACAATTATTGACATGATCATCTTTCTAGTTTCCTCCTTTTTGTGAGAATAGCTCTCAAACTCGTGTATCAGTTAACGCAAGTGTGTGGCAACTGGAGGTCTTCAAACAAATGACACGTTTCAAAGAAATGAGGTCCCGAGTCACAAAGCATTCCTACAATGGGGGAACTTTTACAAACTGTAACGTCTACCTTGGTGAATGGAAATAGGTTGTTGGAAACCTATCAAAAATGCATTTACTTTTGAGAAAGATACACATGCTCACCCCAGAAGAGAATAGTTCTGGAACTTGGATGAAAGCTCGGCTTGTTTATATTCCAGGGTTACTGGAGGAATTTGACCTCTAGTTTTCTTCGAGGAATGAAAAAAAATCACATTATCAACGAGAAACAAAACAGATTGCTTCACTTCTTTAGCGATAGACGGGTGGGTGAAAGAGCCTATTTTTGAATTCCTACATATTTATTACATGTTTACTTACCAAATGTCCTCTATACGGTGTCTAGGTTTCGACTAAAGACAAGAGAAAAACAAAAGTCGTAAAATATTTCAAGTATTTAATGTTCTTTGCACATGTAAAAGCTGAAACACATCACACCACATCTGCAACAGCGTATGTTGTATGTTTCTGAAACTGCGTACGATGTGCAATTGGAGAAGTGCATGAATATACTGAGGGCAGTGATCTTGCTTTTCAAATATTGATTCCGAAATGCAGTCTACAAAATGTTGTTGAGATTTACATTCATATTTACATTTACACGCAGGGCGAGGGCAGAACGAGGCTTCACATAAAATGTTAACCATTCACGGTTGTGCAAGCGCATCTGTGAACCATATTGATTTGGAAAATGGACAATAAAACTGGTTCAGGTTTGCTCGATCCTTTGCTGCTGATAACAGCTGCTCAATTGTTACCACATCTAAAAAGGCGCCTATGAAAGGCGCTGGTGTTCGGATTCTCAGATCCACCTTTGAAGTATCTTATCAATGAAATGAATTGAAAGCCTCTTATTTACTGCTGGAGCTTCACTCTGTTACACAAACAAATTGTAAAACTTAAGTGGGATTAGCTGCTTGATTTACTCAAGATACAAGTCTATTCAAGACCTATCTGACAGACCTTGTCTTTTTTACAGTAGTTTTGCATAATCCTTTTACGACTCTTTGCCCCATTTATTTGCTTTCTACTTATTGTGGTACTAACATTTCTTCATCATATTCTACCAGTTACTGGATTTGCCTCGATTTACCCCGTAAAACATTGACCTATTTAATACAAAGTAAAGTCATTAAAATTGCATTGCAGTTCACAGAAAAAAAATCCATATAATAATATATAATATATACATTCTAACATGATGTTGGATAACCTCTCCGCTCAATAGAATTCAATAAGTAAAAAGGATCCAGGATTTAATATTGCCCAAATATGTTTTTACAATAGAATATGGATTTAGTCTATAGCTTATATGCCACATTGGTTTAAAATTTAAACAATCTACGACTTGGTACAATAGGGTGACATTGCTCAATAGACTATAGTCCATTTTTACAATGTTTTAGCTGAAATTACCTTCTGAATAATTTTCAAATGCATCGCTGGTTAATGATAAAAATGTGGACTCCAATAAAATCATTCTATAGGTGAAAACCGACTATGACAACATGATGTCTATCTTGGATGAAGCTCCACTACATTGAAAAAAGGATTGCAGCCCAGTAAACAAAGATAAATGCCCATTCACAAATAAGCTTATTGTTAATGGGAACGTTGAAAAGGCAGTGTGATTAGTTTTAACATTTTGAAGGGGTTAAAAGATTTTGTTATGTTTTCCATGAGCAATTTGCTTCATCAGAATGCACATAGCGCTGGTGCTCACTTCATGTTAACACATTTTGGCATTCTCTTGCTTGGCTTGTCAGTCACCCAGCAATGTGGATCTGCTTCTGAATTTCAAGCAGTTTTCCAGACGCCAAAAGGTAATCAGGATTAAACGCTGTTATACAAAGCCACCAGATAAACAACAGGGGACATTTTTCACTTGCTGGAAATAAAAGCAAAAATTTATACAACTTTCCCACAGACTTTGTATTGGCTCTTGTATGTAATTTATTTTACAGGAGCATTTGAAATGATTCAGCAGTGACAAAACGTGCCACAAAAAAGCCTTGCGAGGAGTTTAATCAACATTTAACTCTTTTGACAGCATTTCCTTTGCAGGTGTTATAAGAATGAAAAAAAAACGCATATGAAACCCTGCACTGTCCTAATTTTAATTTCATAACTGTCATCTGTGGCCCTTGATAGATTCACTGACAATTCACTTAATTAATTGGAATGAAGCCTTCAATTGGCTGAAAATCAGCTTTTAACCTCTTCCAGCTGTGTTTTTCTTCAGAAATGGGCTCGTCTGGTGCACTTCCAATTTGGGGATTAGACTCTAATTTGTTTTGTCAGAGCAAGGAAAAAGCCAGCTAAGCACCTTTCTCTCTCTCTCAGGCAGGAGATTTCTTATCAGTAGAGCAGGGAGTATGTATGTGACTTCCTGCAATGTACAGTTGGCTTTTGATTAGGTCTCCAACTGACTTTACCCCCAAAACAATGGTGGGAAATTATGACCCAAGCTATTTGGCTTTTACCGTTGCTGAATTGTCTGAGCCAGGCATTTCAAAGAGAAGCAGAAGTACTCAAACGTAAAATTGAAGGGCGTTTGTCCATTAATGTTTAATTTGAATTG